CAAATCCAAGCACCTCTCCTCTATGTCTACACATCTTTGAGCTCTTCACACCTTCCCATGTCTCCTCACACTCCCTACATCTCAACCTGGAACCTCCCCATACTTCCCCAGTTCTCTCTCCTCACCTCCCTTCCTTTCTTCATCCCTCCTCACATTTTACATCTTTCCTCATCTCCTTGCACTCACATCTTGACACTACCCCACACCTCCCTACAACCCCTCACACTTCCCTCATCTCCTCAGACCTCCCCCATACCTCACATCTCTCCACACCTCCCTCATCTCCTCAGACCTCCCCCATACCTCACATCTCTCCACACCTCCCTCATCTCCTCAGACCTCCCCATACCTCACATCTCTCCACACCTCCCTCATCTCCTCAGACCTCCCTCTACCTCACATCTCTCCACACCTCCCTCATCTCCTCAGACCTCCCCATACCTCACATCTCTCCACACCTCCCTCATCTCCTCAGACCTCCCTGTACCTCACATCTCTCCACACCTCCCTCATCTCCTCAGACCTCCCCGTACCTCACATCTCTCCACACCTCCCTCATCTCCTCAGATCTCCCTGTACCTCACATCTCTCCACACCTCCCTCATCTCCCCAGATCTCCCTGTACCTCACATCTCTCCACACCTCCCTCATCTCCTCAGACCTCCCCGTACCTCACATCTCTCCACACCTCCCTCATCTCCTCAGACCTCCCCCATACCTCACATCTCTCCACACCTCCCTCATCTCCTCAGACCTCCCCGTACCTCACATCTCTCCACACCTCCCTCATCTCCTCAGACCTCCCTGTACCTCACATCTCTCCACACCTCCCTCATCTCCCAAGACCTCCCCATACCTCACATCTCTCCACACCTCCCTCATCTCCTCAGACCTCCCCCATACCTCACATCTCTCCACACTTCCCTCATCTCCCCAGATCTCTCCCTGTACCTCACATCTCTCCACACCTCCCTCATCTCCTCAGACCTCCCCATACCTCACATCTCTCCACACCTCCCTCATCTCCTCAGATCTCCCCATACCTCACATCTCTCCACACCTCCCTCATCTCCTCAGACCTCCCCGTACCTCACATCTCTCCACACCTCCCTCATCTCTGCAGAGCTTCTTTTATACATCTCCTCATGTCCTAGGACCCTCCTATACTTTACATCTCTCCACATCCTCCTCTGATAACTCTCTACACCTCCCCTCATCTCTTAAAGCTCCCTGTACCTCACATCTCATACCAGTTCCTCACCTTCTTATACTTCACATCTCTCTACACCCGCCTTTGATAACTCCTTTCATTTGATACCTCCCTTTACCTCACACCCCACACCTCTCAGATCTCCTCACACTTGCCCACTTCTCTTCAGACTTTCCTGCACCTCACACTTTCCTATTTTCCTCAGACCTTTGTGCACTTCACACTTCCCTATTTTCCTCAGACCTTTGTGCCTCCTATCTCCTCACTTCCCCTCAGACCTTCCTGCACCTCACATTTCCTCACACTTTTCCACTTCTCCTCAGACCTTCCTGTATCTCACATCTCTCCACCCCTCATTACTGTGCTCATGCCTGGTTAATCTCATGTCTTCTTCATCTCACACTTTCCTATACTTTACGTCTTCTCTTCCCTCTTCTCCGATTCTTCACTGTTGCTTGTTTAGGGACAAACCTATCTTGTCTCCAGGTCAGGAACCAGCTTTTCCTTTCCACAGTTCCGAGGCCAACCAAGTGCCTGGCACCCTGTGCCAGTCCTTTGACCGGCGTATTAGAACTGTTTCCTTACTCTCTTGTTGAATTCCCCTTAACCTGTGGGATGGCGGGAGTCTTCGCCCTGTACCTTTTGTGGCTCCGACTTTGTATCCATTGGGGTGTTGGTGCTGTCAGCAGCTCTGTAAACTGCAGCAGGGTGATTCATCTTTGTTTGCCTCCCCGACAGGAGCTTCCTCTGCTTCCAGCTGAGTTCCTGCCAGTCATTAGGATCAGCGCAGGCTCATGGAGATGGGTAGCGGGATAAGAGGTCCCAAGGGCGAGAGGTCACGTGAGGCTGAATTTTCATCAGTCTTTAAGGAAGCCCCTGCAGACAGTGGGAACTCAGGACAGCTTGGACTTCATTACCATTTTACAACTTAGTTCAGGCGTGTATGTCTTTTAATAAATGAGGACAAAATTATGCTCAAAATGTATTTATATATGTATTGATGTATAAAGCTTGCTATCTATCAAATGTCCCTTCTCCCATCACTTGTAGTATTTCAGTTTCAATTGTCAGCGATTTCTAGAAACTTTAGGGAACTTAAGGATGAAGGAAGAGTTCTGAGCACAGCTTGAGGAGCCTGGCTGAATTCAGACAAGATGTAATTGCTGCACATGGAGGGTGGGTGGAGCTTTTTGTTTTGATCTTGATTTGTTGACTTGGGAGGATCATGGTGGTGTCTGTCCTTCTATCATCTGGGATGACTTCTTCCCTTCAGGCAGGGATGAGACCTTAATGGTGAGGTGAGTTAGGGTTGGTAGGTTAGTGTCATCTTTGGTAGTGGCAGGGGAGGGGTGGGACTAGGGTTGGTAGGTTAGTGTCATCTTTGGTAGTGGCAGGGGAGGGGAGGGGCTTTCCTACTTAGTGTATTACTCATTACTTGGATTCATGTCCAGGGGCTAAAACTTGGATATCATTTTAAACTTTCCCTTCCTAATTATTGTTGGCATCCTTGTTGGTATTGTTGTTCTTTCTCAGGCTGCTGTGAACATCCCATCTGTACCACAGGGCAGTGTTCTCCCGCGTCTGTTCCCTGAGTAGCCATTAGGAAGACTGAGTGATTAAATAAATTTTGAAAACTGCTGTACAGCATGTTTCTCTTGGAGACTGATGTTACAGGAGTCTTTTAAAGGCTCTGAGAGTTGCTGTAGGGGAACAGGCACTGGGCCCCCAACATAGGTCAGTGGGTAAAGATGCATGCTGCCAAGACTGATGGCCCGAGTTTGATCCCTGGGACCCACATGACAGATTCAAAGTTGTTCTTTGACCTCCACCTGCACGCATAGCACATCTGTGCCCATCTACATGCACACACAAATAATTTAAGAAGATAAATATTTTTTCTAATGTTTCTAAATGTATTTGCTCACATGACCACATTTCCAATTTCTTCCTTCCTTCCTTCCTTCCTTCCTTCCTTCCTTCCTTCCTTCCTTCCTTCCTTCCTTCCTCCCTCCCTTCCTTTTTCTTTCTTTCTTTCTTTCTTTCTTTCTTTCTTTCTTTCTTTCTTTCTTTCTTTCTTTCTTTCTTTCTTTCCTTCCTTCCTTCCTTCTTTCCTTCCTTCCTTTCCTTCTTTTCTTCTTTCTTCCTTTCTTCCTTCTTCCTTCCTTCTTTCTTTCTTCCTTCCTTCCTTCCTTCCTTCCTTCCTTCCTTCCTTCCTTCCTTCCTTCCTTTCTTTCTTTCTTTCTTTTCTTTCTTTCTTTCTTTCTTTCTTTCAAGACAGGGTTTCTCTGTGTAGTTTTGGTGCCTGTCCTAGATGTTGCTCTGTAGACGGCTGGCCTTGAGCTCATAGAAATCCGCCTGGCTCTGCCTCCCGAGTTGGGATTTAAAGGCATGCGCCACCACCGCCCAGCACATTTCCAATTTCTAATACTGCTTATTGTTGATTACCAGTTCTGTTGGAATAGCTTAAAGGTTCTGTCTCAGAGCCAGTCCTCAGGTATGGTTGCTGTGCTGTTTGCAGGCGAATGTTTCCAAGGCTCATGTGCTGGAAATTGGAACCTTGTCCTTTATGTGGGACTGGGGATGGATTTTCATGGGTCTTGGCTGGGGTTGTTGGATCTCTCCTGGCTCCGTTCTGTGTGTCCTTCACTGAAAGTGGGCAGGCAGAGCTGTGGGACCAGGGACTTCTGGAAGCAAAAACTTGTTTCCTTATTTATAGTGCAGAGTTGGTAGGGCTATACTGCCCATGCGATGGTGTGGCTGTTTTGTATCTCTTGAGTGAGGACATCATTCTGCAGGTTCCAGAGAAAACAGACACAGCATTGGCCAAAGCTGGGAGTGAGCTGGGATCCCACAGGAGCCCTGGGTTCACTCTAATCTACTCATAGTCTGTCCCATGTCTTCGCCTGACCTAGGCCACACCTGCAGCACTGTTGAGAGAGAGCAGAGACCTCTGGTGGCCCAGTCTGAGGCTGAGTCCACAGCCTGTAAGTCTGCTCCCACCCGCTGCACCTAGGGACTCTTTTGGTAGTTCTGTCTATCTGGACCCTTTTCCTTCAGTGGGACTGTGAGCCGCTGAAGGCAGGGCTGGTCTTGCCATCTCTTTGCTGACAGCATCATGCATGGAGCTGAGCTCATTGGATAGGGTCACTCAGTTGTGCCCTGGCTGGCAGTGCAGCTCCCGGAGGCACATGGGTAGGGATGGGTAGTCCCACAGTAACACCACTAGAGCGTTAGGAACTTGTAGATAGTGCGTTAAAGAAGGTTACATACTTTGAATGAGCCCCCAACTGTGGCACAGCATCAAACAAAATGATGTATCTCCATGATAAGATCAAGCATCCTTTTTGTATGTGACACAGTCTTGCCTTGGCTGACCTTGAACTTTTGGATCTCCTGAATGCCTGCTTCAAAAACACTCCTTTAAAATAGTGTGATTTCTGTCTTGTCTTCATTGGCTACTTTAATGAAGCCGCTTGCTTTTTTGTTTTATTTTTCTTCAGTACTAAGCCCAAGACCGTGCACATGTTAGGCAAGTACTTGACTGAGCTGTATCCTCAGTCCTTATTTGAGACAGGGTTTCACTGAGTTGCTGAAACTGACCTTAAACTCACTTGTAGCCTAGGCAGTCCTTGAACCTGGTACCCTCTTTACCTCAGCCTCCCGAGGCTTCTCAGTGTCAGGGAAAAGTGCCCGGTACCTGGCTGTAAAAAGAAGGGGACTCCAAGTGATGGTGACATTTTGTTGCTAAACACTTTGTGCCCCAACCTACCATGTTTTTCTGTCGTTGCAGGTGATTTTCAAAGCCAAGTCAAAATATTCTCCAGAATTACTCAAGTATCGGTAAGTACCCCCAGAATGTTGCTCTTCCGACAGAAAGTGAAAGTGTACATGAAACCTGTTTCATCAGTTGGAGTGTGTACATTTACCCCTCTGTAAACACCAAACAGCCCCACAGTGGTCCTGATGCCCTACTGGAATGCTCTCCTTGTTCATGAGAGCCTGCACATTGATAGGATTTACTGGAGTCCTATGGAACAATGCGTACACACACACCATACACACACATACATACATACACACACACACATACACACACACACACACACACACACACACACCAAAATACACCCCCCAAAATACACCCCCAAACCTTCAGAAAGAAATTGCATCAGTACTGAACATATACAGATATTTTATTGTCAGTTATTTACACAGCATTTACATTATATTGGGATCCTGCATGACACAGACTTGATTTAGGTTATACAGGAGAATGTGCATAACCAACCTTCTTATTAAATAAGAAACACAGAACCAATGCAAAGAAGAAAGCCAAGAGGTCAGAGCTAAGAGCTAAAACCTTACCCTTCCTCCTGTGGTGGTCCTACCTCTCGGAACCAGAGCTACCCCTGTGTTAAAGTCTTTATATAGAGTTCCTGTTCTGCCTTCTCATTGGTTGTAAACCCAACCACATGACCGCCTCCTCACGGCCTGTCTGTATAGGCCTCCAGGTTTTCCATGATTGGTATTGATTAAAGGCATGTGTATCCAATAATGGCTGTATCCCTGAACACACAGAGACTTACCCAGCTCTGCCTACCAAGTGCTGGGATTACAAGCGTACGCCACCACTGCCCTGCTTTCCTATGGCTTGCTAATAGCTCTGACCCCCAGGCAACTTTATTTATTAACCTACAAATAACATTTTTTTTTTTTTTTTTGGTTTTTCGAGACAGGGTTTCTCTGTGTAGCTTTGCGCCTTTCCTGGAACTCGCTTTGGAGACCAGGCTGGCCTCGAACTCACAGAGATCCACCTGGCTCTGCCTCCCGAGTGCTGGGATTAAAGGCGTGCGCCACCACCGCCCGGCCAAATAACATTTTAATACAAATAAAATATCACCATAAGGTTCTATGCAAATAAGCCATTTTATGTAAGGGTTGTCCAGGCATCCTTGGATTTTGGCATCTTTGGTGTCCTAGAATCAATCCTCTGTAGATACTGAGAGATGACTGTGTATGTAATGAGGATTCTACAGACAACATTTACTCAACACTCAATTTAAATGCTTTTGATCGTGTGTGTGTGTGTGTGTGTGTGTGTGTGTGTGTGTGTGTCTGTATCAGTGTATTTATGTTTATGGGGATGCCCAAGGAGGCTGGAGGTGTTAGATCCTTTGGAGCTGGAGTTATATGGATGCCTGCTGTGGGTGCTGGGGATTGAACTCAGGTCCTCTGTGTGGAGGCCCACAAAGGTTTCCTAGTGAGATATGAGCTTGCTTTACTCAGAAGAGCTACATTAGAGTATTGCTTGACCATGTGCATGGTTTCTAGGTGATTGGAAGGGTCTGTACTTGGCTGAGCTAGGGGGAGGTCTTTTGCTCCACCCCTTGGCATTCCTATAAAAAGCCCTTTAGAAGAGCCAGGAGGGGCTGGTGGATAAGTATCCAGGCCCACCCGAGGCTCTCCTGTGTTTCTTTTTCTCTCCACTCTATCCTTTTATCTATATCTCTTATCCCTGACTCCTCAAGAGTACCCTGGGGTAAAATGTGGGAGCCGGTCTCCCAGCTGGTCTCCCACACCTCTGGAGAAGTAATACACTCTCTTAACCACAGAGCAATCTCTTCAGCTTCCAAGAAGAGTTACTTTTTTATCCCCAGTCTGTGTCTAGGAAACAAGTTTGGAAAATTGTGCACAGATTGAGAGTCCATGCCCGACACTGTTTGTCCCGAAGTTTGTCTGTTCTGACTTCTGTCACTGCTGTTGTGTGGTTCTGTGTGTTTCCATCACACCGTTGACCCGGAGCTTTGGAATCCATTAAGATGCTGGGATGTTGGAGCCAGGAGGTGGAGTAGCCTTAATCTCAAAATCACAAATACCCTCAACTCCGAAACACCTGAATGTGCATATGAAACAGAAGTGATTTTTGTTGTTGTTTACACTTGGGGTCTGTTCCCCGGCTATCTCACTCTAATGTTACATTCCCAGCTTTTTAAAACAACTTTAAAACAATTTTATAATTAATTGATTGTACTTGGGATTAAACCAGGGCTTTGCATCGTCACAAGCATTTTGGATGAGGGATACTGTTGGTAGTGAGTGGAAAGCTGTCTAATGGTAACAAACCAGCTCGTCTGTGCTCTGCACTGTAATCTCCCGTTCAAGTACTAACCAGGCTGACCCTGCTTAACTTCTGTGGTGTCTGGATTAGTGATGTTCAACCCATGTTGACACGTGGAAAGAAATGAAAACTCCTGAGGCTGCCTCTTCTTGTAGCCCCTCCACCTCCCAGGACCTGTAGTGATGTCTGAGTTCTGTGTCTTCCAGACAGAGCATTTGACCGTCTGCACTCTGGCCTCCCAGGACCTGCAGTGATGTCTGAGTTCTGTGTCTTCCAGACAGAGCATTTGACCGTCTGCACTCTGGCCTCCCTTCCGTTTTGGTGGGGTAGGGGTGGAGATCTGAGATGGTGTTTCAGCCCCCCAGGGCCAGTGTCCAACCCAATCACATACCCCTTCTGGTATTTGGGATCTCATTTCTCTGGGCCACATGGCTTGCCCCTCCTTCCAGGGTGTACACACACACTCTGAGCTCCTTGTCATTAGACCTGGCTGGCCTGTGTGGTTCCCCCCTTTCATCAGATGGGCTGGAGATGCATGTGGCTCTGGGTACAGGGCTGTGCAGAGGCATCTACGGTCCTTTCTGTCTACCTGGAAAGATGTCTTCTGCCCATGCCAAATTGTCTCCAACAAGAGGATGTTGTATTTTGGGAGCCAGAGGGAGCCAGGTTCAGGTATCTCATACAGGGCTTTGGGCTTGAGCCCTTCCTCCTGAGGTAAGGGTTCGAGGCTGGCCTCCACCTCATTCTAATGTCACTGAAGATGACCGTGAACTTCTGGTCTTCTGTTTCCACATCTCAAGTGCTGGGATGACAGGCGTGCACCACTGCTCCCAGCTAACACAGCACTGGGACTCAAACCCAGGGCCTCATACATGCCAGGCAAGCATGCTAGCAGCTGAGCTACATCCCCAGCCTCCTTCTTCCATTTCAAAACATATACAACAGTGGCAGGAAGCCCTGCCTGCTTGGTGTGAGCATAGCCAGGCCTCAGGCTCCAGACCTTGTATAGGTGGAGGCAGGCATGAGTTGATTCTTCATCTCTTTGGTTCTAAGCCATGAGAAACCTGTGGAATTTAAGTGTAAGGGACTCAGGGAAGCAGAGAAAATGGAGCACGCATGTCTGTTGGTATGGGAGGGTCAGAGTCAGCGAAGGTCTCTGTGGCAGCTGCTGAGTTGAGCTACAGGCTGTACTGGAAGCCAGAGAAAAAGGCCTCTTGGGATCATGGCTTCTAATTAGTATTGAAATTACAGACATAGGCAACCTGCACCAGTCTAGTGTGTGTGTGTATGTGTGTGTGTGGGGGTAAGTACACGTATATGTATCCACCTGTGCACCCAGAGGAGGACATTGACATTGTGTGTCCAGATCTGTCCTTATTCCTTTGAGGTAGTTTCTCTCTGAATCTGGAGCTAGGCTGGCAGCCAACAATTCCCATCCGTCACCTTACCCACCCCCAGTCATTGGGGTTACAGGTGTGTATAGCCATGCCCATTTTGTGTATGTTCTGGGGATTTGAACTCATGGATCACCTGCGAGCCAAGCTCTTACACCAGTCTGTTTTTGAGCCCCATGATTTCACTCCTTTTTGCGTGTCTCCCATCTGGGTCTGCCAGAAGAGAACATAACGTGGGGAGCTGTGAGAGGAACCTGAGGCTGAGGCCTTGAGTGTCAGTGAGTGTGAGCAGTCGGCCTCACCTGTGCACAGGCCTCTTGCACACATGTAGCTCTGGAAAACTGTAGGATGAAACTGCCAGTGAAATGAACGGTTTAGGACTTGGGCTCTGTTGTTTGATAAGAACACTCACCAAGGGCGTGCAGTGTCCTGGGTTCAATCCACAGTACTGTGAAAGAAAAATAAGAAAGGAGAGGGCAGTTTTTATCCATGTAGCATTTATTAGTTGCTGTGGTAGATTTGTGTTGTGGTTTTCTTGCAGTGTTAGAGCTCAGATCTGGTCTCTGTGCTAGGCCAGTGCTCAGCCACTTAGTGATCTTCCCAGCCCAGCTGCGGCAGAGCTGGTTTTTGTTTTGTCTTTTTTTTTTTTAAACCTTTTATTTTACGCATGAGTGTTTTGCTTGTGTGTACCCCTCATGTGTACCTGGTCCCAGTAAAAGCTAGAAGGCAGTCCTTGGGGCTGGAGCTACAGACCGTTGTAGGCTGTCATGTGGGTGCCGGGAATCAAACCCAGGTCCTCTGGAAGAGCAGCCAGTGCTCTTAATTGCTGAGCCATGTCTCCAGTACCTGTGGCAAGTTTTTACTCACAGGGAGCATTCTGCAGCTGGTGAGCTCGGGGTGGGGTGGGGGCATAACACATATGCTAACGATTGTATTAAATATATATACAGCTGGCCGGGCGGCGGTGGCGCACACCTTTAATCCCAGTACTCAGGAGGCAGAGCCAGGTGGATCTCTGTGAGTTCGAGGCTAGCCTGGTCTACAGATCGAGATCCAGGACAGGCACCTAAACTACACAGAGAAACCCTGTCTCGAAAACCAAACAAACAATATGTGTGTGTGTGTGTGTGTGTATGTATGTATGTGTGTGTGTGTGTACACACACACACACACACACACACACACACACACACACACACACACACACACACACAGAACCGACCTTTAGCATTTGCGAGGGATAGATTCTGTGACCCAGAATGTGTAGCTACTATGAAGTAACAGATCCTGGTATGTCTGGTCTTCCCCAGGTTACCCCTCTACCTGGCCTCACTTTTCATCAGCCTTGTTTTCCTGCTGGTGAATCTGACCTGTGCTGTGCTGGTGAAGACAGGAACCTGGGAGAGGAAGGTCATTGTCTCTGTGAGAGTGGCCATCAATGACACACTCTTCGTTCTGTGTGCCATCTCTCTCTCCATCTGCCTCTACAAAATCTCCAAGATGTCCCTGGCCAACATCTACCTGGAGTCAAAGGTACCATGGTCCAATTCCTTACCCTGAAAATGGCTTCCTGGTTTGCTCTTAGGACACAACAGATCTTGCTCACCCTGTGGCTCATTGAACTTCCTGTGAACTTTTGTTTCTGGGTGGCTTAGCATATGTTAGGTAGTAAAGTCTGGGAAAGTTCCGTCTGGTTCAGAACTACATCTGTTTAACTGTTGACTTATTTTTGTGGCACTGGAGATCAAACCCAAGGCCCATACATGCTAGGCAAGCATCAACCACTGAGTTACAGCCCTGCACATTTGAAAAATTTTTATTCGGAGACAAGGTCTTTGTAAGTTGCCCAGGCTGGCTTTGAACTCAGCACAGGCCTCAAAGTCGTGATCCTCCCACCTTAGGCTTCTGAGTCGTTAGGATTAGAGGAATGTGCCATTAGGCCTGGCTGAACCACATCTTAACTGTCTAGTAGGATAGCTGTACAAACAACACTAATAGCAAGCATGTGTCCAGTGTTGACTGTGTTCCTGGCCCCTTGATAAACACCCTTTTGGGAGAGGGTAATGGGATCAAACTCAGAGCCTCTCGTGTATTAGGCAACATCTGTACCACTCAGCTCTATCCCCAGCCTTTAAAAAACAAAACAAATCATTTTAAGACAGGGTCTCACCATGTTGCCTAGGCTGGCCTTGAACTCAGGCTGGACTTAACTTGTGATCCTCCTACTTCAGCTACCACCGCTATAGCTGGGATTATGGGCTTACACCTCCAGGCCCGACTTGATGAGCATTTTAGAGCCTGAGCTAATGTCTGCCTCCCATCTCCATGGGAGTGGGTAGTGTGTTAAATCCCCACTTAATGGATAAGGAAACAGCTATGCACAGAGAGGTCAGGAAGCTTGTCCTAGGTCAGTGAATGAGGGCCAGGGTTCATGGCCTTCCAATACCTGTTGTGTCTCTGTTCAGCCTCTCCTTGTTGGTAGGAATGTTCCCAGCACTTGGTCCTGGATAGCCAGGGGCCTGGCCCCTCACCTCCATCCTTACCCTCATCACTCCGGGGGCCTGGCCCTGTCATTGTGAAGAGACTGTGATTCCTCCAGAGCCTGTTGCCCTGTGACAGACCTGTTGTTGCCTTCCTCTGGGACTTTGGCCTGAAGACTGCAAGGCAACCGGGCTCCTGCCACGTTGTCTTGAGAATTGGTCAGGAGATGAAAATCTCTGTCTCCAGCTCTCACAGGGCACCCAATGATTCAGCTGGATTCATGAAAATCCTGCACCTTAGCTGGGTCAGTTCTTTCATTTGTAAATTTTGATGAGTTTTACACTTAATTTTTGCCATAAAGGTTATTATCTTACCTCTAATACATGAGTTATGAATAAAATTTTGTAAAATAAAAGTGTAGCTTTTAAAAGGAAGGATTAAATCATAGGCTGTCAGATTTTAGCTGACCCCTGTGACAATATGGATGATACTTTGATTTAGGAAATGACTCCTCCTCACAGGACGCAAGTCAGCTCTGCTTTCCTTTGGTTCTTTTAACTAGCTGGGGGGTCCTTTAACTGTCTGCAGAAACTGATAAAGCTTCATAAAGAGGGATAAGCCACAGATACTCAAGTGATCCCATCCCAGAGACCAAGCAGGACTCCTGTGCTCCCAGCCTAGAAGGTTCTAGACTTTGAACAAGGCTGTGTGCATCCTGACTAGGGCTTGCGGGCTGTACAAGGGAATCAGCCAGGATCTTGTTACTGAACAGTGGGACTTAAGAGATCTCATGAACTTTTTGACATTCTGGCTCTTAAGATCAGGGCTTTGTAGGCTGGGGCAATGCCTCAGCCGGTAAAGTGCAAACACAAGGGCCTGGCTCCCATTCCACCAGAAGCCACATTAGGAGCCGAGTGCAACATCATGTGCTCGTAATCCCAGTGCTCAGCGGAGGAGACAGGAAGATCAGCAAGCTCCAGGGACAGTGAGACCCTTCTCAGAAACAGGGTAGAGTGCGATCGAGGAAGACACCGAGACACACATACACCCAAAGGCCTTGGGGAAAGGCCCGCCCGTAGTTAATCCTCTTAGCGGCAGCTTCACAGTCTCAAGTTTTAGATGAAGGTAACAGAAATCTGAGAGGAAGGGGTACAGATGTAGCAAGGCCTGGGGTGGAGTGCTCTGGCAGAACTGGCTACCTGCCAAGGCTCTCAATTATCGAGGCTTACTGGGTGACACCAGAAGGAAGGAAGGAAGGGGCTGGTGTATCTGCAGTGGCCCATTCCTGTTGGCTTTGTCTTCCAGGGTTCATCGGTATGTCAGGTGACTGCCATAGGTGTCACTGTCATCTTGCTCTACGCCTCGAGGGCCTGCTACAACCTGTTCATCTTGTCATTTTCTCAGATCAAGAATGTCCACTCCTTTGATTATGACTGGTACAATGTATCAGACCAGGTCAGTGGGGCATGACAAGGTGCTGCCTGCATCCCACATCAGTGGGATGTGGTGGTGAGGTGCTGTCTCAGTGGGGACCAGGTCAGTGGGGCATGACAAGGTGCTGCCTGCATAGGGACCAGGTCAGTGGGGACCAGGTTAATGGGACGCAGTGAGTGCTGCCTGCTGGAAGGTCAGACTCCCTGTTTCTGCTGTTGTACAGTGCTGGGTGTACAGAAGGAAACAGGTATCTTTCCTGCCCCATGGGAGTTGATGGGTCACTGACGTGCAGACACAGATAAACCTGTGTTGTGGAGAAATGAACCCCTCTGATAGGTCTCTATTGGATTGCTTTGCAATGCTCCTTAGTGTTATCTAGAACAACAGCAAATACCCAAAAGTGTGTAAGTATAAAATATATACCAGGTATAAAAATCCTACCAGTGCTCACAGCTGGAGCTGATTTAAGACAGTGAGATAAAAATAAAATGACCTCAGTGAGCTAAATCTACGATGGCTATATCCCTGAGAAAGATGAAACCATGGCTGTAACCTAGTAACCCTGGCCAAGCCTGTCCCACAGGTGCAGCGGGGAGAAGGCTGGGCAAGGATGCTCAGGTGCTTGTGCCGTTTGAGAAAAACCAGACATGAGATCCCTAGACCACCCTACACAGTGGAAGATTATAGAGATGTTCATCATACACATAAGGGTTTTCAAGAGCAGACCAGTAGCATCGGTACATACACGTTCAAACCATCACTACTGCCCTCTTGACCTTTTCATCTTTCCAAACTGAAGCTTCTTCAAGCAACAGAGTTGGTCTTAACAAGTTACTTCCATTTTTCTCTCAATCAAGAAGTTAAAACCTTCATGTTTGGGGTGTGATGGTTTTGAAATGCTTGTTTTTGGTTGTTTCAAGCATCTGTGCCTTCTTGAGGAAAGGCAGAGACAGGTGGTCTAGGAGAAGGAGGAGACATGAGTGCCATCACCCTGGGAAAGAGCAAGGCAGCTTCCAACACGATGTGCTAGAGAAGGCTGGAGGACCAGGCTGTGCCTCAGTGTTATCTTCCCTGAAACGGGCTGAGAAGCTGCCACATCTGGTGTCTTTCTACTCTGGGACCTTCTCTCCATGAAACCTCCGTGGCCCTCCCCTTGGGCATTGCCTTGCTCAGAGGACTCTTCCTGGACAAACTGCCTGTGGTCAGCTCTCATGGAGAGCAGGGTGTGGCTGTTGTGATAGGACTCTGCACAGACAAGCTGCTGTCCATTAGGAGGAGTCTGGGCTGGGGTGTGGACTCTGGGTTCATCCCCTGAACTGCAAAAGTGAGTGGCCCGTCATAAATAACCATCCTTAATGGTTTCCACCGTCCTCCAGCTGAGTGAGGCCTGACCCATCACTGTGACCAGGTTTCCAAGTGTAGGCTTTAGGGGGAGCACTTCACCGTAGCGAGGAGTGTCCTCTGCTCTGTGTCCTCCATCACTGGTTGCCTGAGGTCTCATGACTTCATTTCCCCCCACTCTGGAACAGGCAGATCTGAAGAGCCAGCTGGGCGATGCGGGCTATGTAGTGTTCGGCGTGGTGCTTTTCGTGTGGGAGCTCTTACCCACCACCTTGGTGGTGTACTTCTTCCGAGTCAGAAGTCCCACGAAGGACCTTGTAAGTACCCGCTGTCTGTCTGCTGGCATCCCTAATCCTCCCGAAACTGGCAAGTAGGATTTTCCTCCCAGCTTTTCAGTGAAGCTTCTTGGATCCCTTTGTCAGGTCGGTCATCCGTGACCCTTTCAACTAGAATCTTCTTTCTCCTTACTTCTCTTAAATGCGTGTGGAGGGTTAGCTTTATTTTACAAAAGAAATGGAAGTTAAGGTACGTCTCATGGCCCGGGGACTAGCGATTCCTAATGCCACACAGTATTTGGTGTCCTCCAAACACATATGCTGCCCTTTTAGCAGAAGATGGAGGGCTGGAGATACGGCAGTTGGTAGAGTGCTTGCCTAACATGCATGAAGCCCTGGGTTTGCTCCTCAGCACCACATAAAACCAGGCATGTAATCCTAGCACTGGGGAGATAGAAGCAAGAGGATCAGAGGTTCATTCATCCTTAGCTACATAGTGAGTTCAAGACCAGCCTGAGCTACATGATACTTTATTTGAAAAAAACTGTTAAAAAAAAAAAAAGCAAGATGGGGACTCACTTTATCCCCAGAGTGACAACGGCTCATCAGAAAGTGGGAGAGCAGTGCAGTGGCATCAGCGTGACCATGCTAAAGCCACCCACTTGTGTTTGGCCACATCTGCTGAACCAACCCTATAGAAGAGAAAACCAAGTCAAGTTCAGAATTCCCTGGAAGCCTTGCTGCACCGTACGAGCTAGAGTACAGCTTTGCTTTCCTGAGCCATACACTCAGGAGCGGGGACCAGTGTGAGCAGTGACGGGGGCACAGAATGATGCACATAGACACATAGGCACAGCTCCTGGTCCACACCCGGGTAACGACAGCTTGCTGCTCTTTTCCCTCCTCACCTCTGGGTGGTCACTGCTGACCCAGGCACAGGAAACAGACCAGGGTGAGGTGGGAGATGAAGTACAACTTGGCTGTGTCTTCCCTGCCAGGACGGACTCCAGCCATGTCTATTTGCATTTTTTGAGAATTCGGTTTGGGGCAAAAGGATGAAAGGATCGAGGGAGGGTCCTGAAGGAAGAAACTCCCGAGAGCCTGTGTGACTATACAGGTGTGTCTCCACATGGACTGTCTGCTTTAGTTTGGGAAACTCTGTTGTTTTGAGACAATCCTGCTGTAGAACACAGGCAGGCCTCGAGATAAAACCTTTTGCCTCAGCCTTCCAAGTGCTAGGATTATAAGCATGAATGACCATGCCTGGCTAGTTTGACATGTAAGTGAGAAATGAAAACAGCGATTCATTATTGGAAATGCGAGCTGTGGATGTCATTGTGATGTTTATATAGGCATACATTTTGTTCATCTTCTCTCCCAGTTACCCGCTCTCCTTCCCACTGACCTCCTTTGTCTCACCAACTAATCTGTCCGCTTCCCACTTTTAGGTCCTTTTGTCACACACTGCCTATAGATCCTTAAAGAAAACAGCCCCTCCCTCCTGCACGCTGTATTTTGGGGACTGAGGATGGTAGCTCAGTTGGTAGAGTGCTTGCCTAGCATGCACGGAACCTTGGGTTCAGTTCCTAGCACCCGAGAGGTAGCAGGAGGAAAAAATAAAAAATTCAGGGTCATCTTTGGCTATTAGGGTTGAGGCTAGACTGGGATACATGAGACCCTGTCTTTTTTTTTTTTTTTTTTTTTTTTTTGGTTTTTCGAGACAGGGTTTCTCTGTGTAGCTTTGTGCCTTTCCTGGAACTCACTTGGTAGCCCAGGCTGGCCTCGAACTCACAGAGATCTGCCTGGCTCTGCCTCTCGAGTGCTGGGATTAAAGGCGTGTGCCACTACCGCCTGGCTGAGACCCTGTCTTTAAAACAAACAGAAAGAGCATACACAGCACATTCAACACTCTAGCTAATGACAGTACTTCTTCCTCATGCTAGCAGGCAGTTGTCTGCACAGATGCTAAATGACAACATCTTCTTCTAGACCAACCCTGGGATGGTCCCCAGCCATGGATTCAGTCCCAGATCTTATTTCTTTGACAACCCCCGAAGATACGACAGTGATGATGATCTTGCCTGGAACGCTGCTCCTCAGGGACTTCAGGGAAGGTAAGAGCCTATTCCTGTTGGAGACTGCTAGGCCACTGGAACAGATTGAACTGGAAGACTACCCCTGCACAGAGCTGTCCTGCAGGGTCAGGTTCACCACAGGATATAACCAGGTGTGGGAGAAAACAAACGATCTTTAAAAGATTCCCTCCTGTAGCATTTTTCCTAGTCAGTATTCCATGGAATGCTTAATAGTTGTGCTGATTTTAAAGAAATCAACCTTATGACTTCTCCAAGCCTACCCAGAGAGAGCCAGGGCATTTGCTGCTGGAATCACTCAGTGGAACATGATCTGGGACATCCAGGCAGACATCTCGGATCCTCTTCTAAAGCCAGAGAATACATGAACAATAAGTCACTAGAGTGACTATAAGAGCCAGAATTTGAAATTTGTGATTCTTAAAGTTATTTACTAAGATATTCACAAATGTCACCTCATTCTGTGTTTGCTACAGCCCTGTGAGTTCAGTATAATTGAGTTCTCATGGTTCAAGACCTGTCTGTGGGATTCCCTTTGCTGGGTGAGCAGCGTGGCTGGCTTTGGTGCATACTCAGTGCCAGAGCACATGGGCACTGCCTCTTTCCTTGAAAATTCACTAGCAGACTGGGCTCAGTCTATTTTGGGGGTAGGCACTTACACATGGTAGCATTCACAATGGTGTGTGTGCTCAAGACAGGAAACTTAAGCTGGACCTGGCTGCCTCCCATGAGTTCCAGAGTCTGGATAACAGCTAGGAGGAGGAGGAGGAGGAGGAGAAGCACCTGCTTGCCAGGGCCAGGAGCACCCTTCATGGCTTTGGTTCCTCCTCTCCCTGTGCACCCAAATCTGCCCAGTGTTCAAAAAGCTGTGCTTGCTTTTTGCTCTGTATAACTAACAGTGAAAGGCCTTGGAAATGGGAAAAGGGCTCTGAAAGGACCTTGGTTTGAGATACAGAGCTGAGGCAGAACACATTACTGTCTTGGCGGGTAAGGAGGGGAGACCCCTGATCCTATCACATAAAAACCAAAAACAAGGTAGCTGTTAGGGAAAAACACAGAGCAGCCATGTGTAAAGTACAGACTCTGGAAGCAAGCCAACTACAAAGATTTCTCAAGGTCAAAAGTTACCCTTCCAGAGTTTGAGCTCCACTTCTTCCTAAAACGGTTCTCTTATCTAGCTACCCCGCTGGAGCATCCCTTACCATTACTTGCCAATAGTTAACAAGAGCAGAGAGGGGAGTACTTCACCCTATACACAGAGTGAGAAAAGACCCTTTTCCATGAGAGAGGAAAATGAAAACAGTATTTTGAGTTCTAATGAGATCTTAGATACTGCGCTTGAGGACTTCTGTAGGTGTTCACTCAACCCTGACAACAGCCCAACAAGGAAGTTACTGAAGTCACTCCTGTCCCACAGATGGGGAACTTGAGACATAGAAGTTATCCGTCCAAAACACATGGGTAGTGAACCTATAATGCCACCTTGGGGTTCAGACACAAGCCTTTGCTAAAACTATGTTCTCCACTATGGCTAACTTTAGGTTCTAGTGGTTCCAAACTTCTGAGCACTGCAGGGTTCAGTGAACTTGAATGCAGGCTGCCAGCACTGTGTGTAGCTGTTTGGTGGGAAAATGGGCTTCAAGACACAGTGTGAAGAACTCAGGTCTGTTGCTAAACTACACAAGCCACGTGGACACAGTACACACAGTATACTGTGTCAAGCCACTGAACTGGTTTTGTTTGTTTGTTTAAAGTTTTGCTCCAGACTACTACGATTGGGGACAACAGAGTAACAGCTCCCCGGCACAAGCAGGAACTTTGCAACAAGTCTCCACTTTGGATCCAGACAAAGCCAGCCAAGGGTAGCACCAGGTGCCAGTCCTATGGAAGAGTCCTCTGTTGAAAACCTTCAGCCAGACAGACTGGATGACAGCTGAGTTTTTAGGACACCTTTCCTTATGAAACAGGACTCAGTTTTTTTGCTATAGCTTTCTCATGGCTAGATCGGACTAAGCAATAATTTAGAGCGATAAACTCTTACTTTAGTATTAGCAGAGAGCCTGGCTATTTCAGTGGGTATAATTTAAACTTAAAGAGATTCTGTACTTTTATAAAGATGTATTTTATATAACTTAAATACTAATGCTAAAGTATATTAGGTTTTTCCTTGATTGTTATTGTAATGTATGTTGTAGTTTGCACAGATTTTCATGCATAATTCACTTTAAAACGTATAGAATACGTGGTCTAATAGTTTAAAGCTTTTGGACAAAAGTTTCCTCAAGCCTTACCTCTGAAGGTCACTGAAGGTCACTGTGATTGTGAACTCCACATTGGTAGACTCCTTTTACCTGCCACTCCAGTGTTGAAAGTTAAGAGGAAGGAGAGTGTCACGGTCTGTATGTCCACACTAGTAGTTTCTCTTGAACTTTGCCCACAGTCTGGTGCTTCTTCATCCGAGAGCACTACTATAAGCACTCCAGTAACAAGTGGATACTGTCAAGATGTAGTCGCCGATACTACTCAGCCTCCTCGGCTGTGTGTGTAGCCATTTTGTATACTTTTCTTTAGCCAGTGTAACTGAATACTCACTACCTCAGTAGGATGGCAAGATTGCCTTCCCTGACTCAGCCCATGCTCACTATAGTCAATGACAAGCGAAGAGGTCTCCACAGAGTGTTAACAGTAAATATTTCTGGCCCTCGAGCTAAAGGACTGTGGACTCCTGACAGCTTCTCTGTAAAACATGCCTGTTACTTGTAGGAGACTGATGTGTGCTCACTGCCTGTTATTTTTAAATACTCTGACCGTCTGTTGAAAGCTATGTGTATGAAAAAGTGGGTTCTGCCTATGTGGTAGCAGGACCCCTGTTTCAGCCAGAGAGCGTTCCAGACAATGATCCCCATGTGCTATCTCAGGGCTCTGAGAACCAAATGGCCATCCTGGAGGCTGGTTGCTCTGGCTTCTCACAAAATGCATCATCTGGTCACCAGAGCCAAAAGGCAAGTCTTGCTCACAGGCTCTAGCCCAATTCACACATTTCTGCTGTCCTAAGGTTTGGTAAAAACCCATCTTGGGGATTTAACAGGGACAAGCCCACTCTCTCCTATTTAGATGTATTTAAAATTGGGATCCCAGGCCGGGCGGTGGTGGCGCACGCCTTTAATCCCAGCACTCGGGAGGCAGAGCCAGGCGGATCTCTGTGAGTTCGAGGCCAGCCTGGGCTACCAAGTGAGTTCCAGGAGAGGCGCAAAGCTACACAGAGAAACCCTGTCTCGAAAAACCAAAAAAAAAAAAAAAATTGGGATCCCAAATTTCACACGGGTTGTGATTGGGTTTTCATTGTATAGCACACAAAGTTGAAGACTCTGCACAGCCCACGTCTTTGCTTTTGAGTATGAGCAAACATCTGGGTTACCAGCCATTTAAAATAGTTATTTGTCAGGGTGAGTTCCGCACTGAAGCAAAGCCTGCACGAGTTGCCTAAGTCAGTAGTTTACAATAAGAGTGTACAAGACAGCTTATCTGTCGCTATCCCTGCAATAATTCGGCTGTTGCAGCCAGTGCCCACAGCCCCTGTGTCCTTGTCTCCAGCAAGTCTATCCATCAGCAGCCAAGGGCAGGGCTTTCTGAAAAGCATAGCATCTTCAAGACAGTGCTGTGTGCACTCATTTTGTAGCACATGCACACTTTACAATTGTCTATAAGAAAACAGACACCCAGCATTAGCCAACAAGCTATGATCACTTTACAATAAAGTTGTCAGCATTCACGGCAGCTATTTATTTTTCTCTGGAAAGGACAAAATGACATGTCGATTGACTCTCACAATTTTTTTTTTTTTTTTAAAAGACTAACTCTTAAATGCTGTCACCACAGGCTGGAATATAAACACGGTGGCTGTGGGTCTCATGTAGGGAAGGAGTTCTGAGTTGCCTTTGAGCCTTCTCCCTTACTTTCTCTGCTAACAAAACTTCCTAATGTGTTAGATTAAACCTAGGAAAAGAAAAGTTCATGTGTACACCACCATGAAATTAAAACCCTGGTAAATCGCTTCTCAGCCTTTTGGCTAAGATCATGTGTAAAACCCTGGTAATATTAAGCTTAAAGTGCATGGGGCCAAGCATGGTATTATGCTAATAATCCAAGCACTAGGTCAAATTTGAGGCCAGCGTGGGCTATAGAAATACTCTGAGATGAACAAGTATATGGGACAGAGAGAATACCACTGAAAATGTGGTAAATGTGGTACCAGCATTGAGGTCTGCTGTAACAAGGCCAGGACACACAGTTTTTGAATGCTGGAAGAGTCATTTGCCCACACAGCTAATAATTCTGGCCAAGCTATGTTCATACCTATCATTGATTGGCACATACTCCTTTAGACAGTTAACATCTGAGTGTTATGAGTTGTGAACTACAGGTTATTACAGCATACATCCCAGTCACATTTATGAATTTATTTTCTGTGGCTGCCGCCAGGATGGAATCCAGGGCCTTACTCATATATGGCAAACGCTCTACCACTGAGCTGTATTCTCAGCTCTTGTTAACTCTGTCTTGACTACCAGACACACTCATAATAACTCTTCTGTCCCATGTTTATCTGCATAGATCAGGTAAATCCTAGTGTACCCCAAACTCCTCCTTCACTAAAACTCAACTGCTTTTTGTGAACAGTAGTATTGAACCAAGACTTCACCCCTATGAAGAGCAAAAGAAGCATTCGTCACTGTGGGTGCTTCAGAAGCACTATGAGAATCTCATTTGGATCTATATTGTATATTAGAATATTGTGTACCCATATGCATGTGTACCTGCACAGTGGTGATCAGATCTCGGCCTTACTCCTGCTAAGCAAGTGCTTTGCCACTGGACTACATACATTCCAGCCTGTTGTTTGTTCTACAAGGTTACAAATAATTTATCAAGATTTACAAGTTAAGCCAATTATTCTAGAAAAAGGATCCTTTCACTTTTATTGGGCAGAGATCTTAAGAGACTGGGGCAGAAACATATCAATGTCCATTTTATCTGGTAGGTACGAGCTATTCACAACTTCTGATGGGACCAGATAGGGAGCCGCTGAAAGGAGCAGGCTCCAGTCAGAGTTCTCAGCAAAGACTAAACTAATAAGACAAAGTGAGAAAAACATTTAAATGGGACTGTCAAGACAGGCTGTGGAATTCACTGGTCTACTGGGTATCTCTGCTATACAGTGCCGGACTGGGCAGTTGTCATGAGTTTGGATTTGAGATCATACAGAGAGGATCACACATTAACTTACTCATAGTTCCCAGAGAACTATGATAGAGACATGAAAAGCCCTCTCCCCAAAGAACAAAATACCTGTCAAACTACTGGACTCCTCTACCTTTGCCTCATCTTGCCCTGGGTAGGTACTATGCTCAGTATGGACTCATGCAGTCCAGGCTTGTGATCCTTGGATCCAAATGTAGGGTCTTGGCAGCTCCTATAGGCATAGACATCTGCCTTCTTCAAACCTTGATCTGTCCCTGCTCCATTTTTTGATGTAGATACCTTCCTTACCAGTGGCTTCTTTTCCCCTAAGCCTCATCTGGTTAACCCCTCAAATCCTGATTTTTTTTTTTTTTTTTTGTACTCTGAATAGACCTTATGTCTCCAAACATTAACTTAGAACTGGAGTTTAGAGGCCCACTTTATTCAGCTTATATGAGCCTCAAAATTCCTTTCTACCAACCCTTGTTCATATAATTGTTACCCATGATTCTGACATCCACTAGTCACTTCCCAGTCATGGTTTCTTCAAGACCCTCACTAAAGCATGAAAGGGTGCATACACTCAGATAAACAGTGCCTTCCCAGGGCTGCTGTGTCTGTGTAACTGAGCATCCTTCAGGTACTTCCCTATAAATAAACTCACTGGCCCCGTCCACGCTTCAAGTCTATAGGGCAAGGGCCTATCAAAGGCTTTGCCCAGCTGTAGGTCCATCCTGGGCAGGATGGTTTGGTGAGGCCCTGACTGGTAGCTGTCCGATGGCTTTCCTGAGTCAGTGTGCTGGTAGCATCAGGAGGCTACCTGTACTGCTGGGAACATTTTTAGGTGGCATGTGGCCTCAGTGGCATTTTCTTCAGGTGAAGTCTTAACTATAAATGGAATGGAATCTGGTTGGGCTATGAAGGCTGAGCTGTGTGGTGGCAGGAGTTTATTTCACTTATTGCTATATTTCCAGACCTCAGAAGAGTCAAATCCCATACTCATAGCTGCCCTTAAGTAACTCTTGCACTTGCACTTTTACCAAGTTTATTTAGCACTCACTGAAGGGCTCCCCCACTTATGAGTCTTTAACAGATATCCAATTTTTTAACAAATAAATGGAGGAGGGAGTTGGTTTGTTTTGTTTTGTTTTGTTTTTTAATATATGAAGGTAAGCCCAAAATCATTCTTGGAGACTTTGTCTTACAAGGTGAACTCTGACCTCATGGGTGCTATCATACCTTTATTAACTGCTCCATTTAGTAAGAGTACTCAAAGAATTACCCCAGGTAGTTAAAACCTAAAAGGGTCTTTACCATGTGAGGTGAGGCTGAGTTAGAAGAATAAAGACATCGAGGTTAAGAACCTTCGCATCTAAGGATGTAGTTGTAGGCAGATTGCTTGTCCATGGGTAGCAAGCCCTGGGTCCAATCCCCAGCACAGCACAAAACGGGCATGATTGTTTCCACCTCTGATCCCAGCATTTGGAAGCTGGAGGATCAGAAGTGGGAGTTTGAGGCCAGCCTGAGACACACAAGACCTTGAAAGTAATGAAAGGGAGCGAGGAAGAGAGACCCCCCAAAAAACAGTCTGACAGAGTTCTGTCGTGCTAAAAAGAATTTTTCAAAGCTCATGTGGAATCAAATGGAATGGAGGAAAAACAAATCAAAAGAGTGCAGGGAAAGGAAGGAGAAGGTGTGGTCAATTTGGACGCACAGTAAACTCCGACTCACCGATAACATGTGGTGTCACATTAAGGAAAAATCAGAGCACTCCCCTTGGTGTCATTTAACCAAGAGTGAGCCCAGATTTGAATTTTCTCGTTCATGTTCCCTGTGTCTTCTGTCCTCTCAGTTTGAATCTGCCTGCCTGAGGCTGTCTTGTAAATCAATCCCTGTGTGTTCATCCCTCACAGAGGGCTTTGCTCTTTATTGAGCAGCACAGAAGGCATCACATGGGGGAAGGACTTCGTGACACTTTACAGAAATCTTTAATGGAGTTCTACAAGGGACCAAGTCACAGACTCCAGTTAACCCCAACTGACCCACATGACAGTATTTCAAACACTATTGTTTATCAAGCAATATTTAAATGTTGTGTTCAACATTTATGGTGGAATTCATTTTAGAAGACTGCTTTCATCTTCTGTATTTGCTGTTTTCAGCAAATGATACACAGGCATTACTCTGGGTCAAGGATATGAATAAGTACGTAACTTAAGATTATAGCTGTGCTGGGCTGGAGAGATGGTTCAGTGGTTAAGAGCACTGGCTGCTCTCCCAGAGGACCTGGGTTCAATTCCCAGCACCCACATGGCAGCTTACAACTGTATCTCTGGTTCCAGGGGATCTGACACCCTCATACCAATGCACATAAAATAAAGTTAAATCAATTATTTGGAAAAAGAAAAAAAGATTATAGCTTTGCATTGGGAATTCCAAGGGCAAGTAAGGGTGACTGTTAACATTGTTCTCTTAAAGGCAGGTTAAACAAACAGCTGAGTACACAGTAGGATAGCAGTCTTAAGTCATAAGTGACCTCAGGGTGTACTAACTCTGGCCATGAGGTCCATGAGAAGTTCCAGTCCAGTCCTCAGAATGTTTATTTTTTTTAATAATTTTTTTTTTTTTCCGAGACAGGGTTTCTCTGTGTAGCTTTGCGCCTTTTCCTGGAACTCACTTGGTAGCCCAGGCTTGCCTCGAACTCAGAGAGATTCGCCTGGCTCTGCCTCCCGAGTGCTGGGATTAAAGGCGTGCGCCACCACCGCCCGGCCTGAATGTTTATTTTTTTTAATATTGCATCACCATGAGAGGGCTGAGGACTAATGTTAAATATTATTTATTAAAACAATGCCTACTGGTACATATAGAAAATGGACTGATGAAATGGAACAGAACCTAGATAAAGAGCTAAGTCCACAAAGATACCAGAGATCTGTCTTATCTACATGTAGCCTCAAACTAGTTATGGGAAAGATGGGCTGTTCAGGAACAACCAGGTTAGGGTTGTTGAAGATAAGGGTGGTTTCTTAACTTGTATTTTGTACTAGGATCCATCCCAAAGGATCGGAATTTAAAAAGCAAAACCATCAATGAAAATCAGAAAAAAAAATAATGGTGGATTAACTGTCTTGGTCTGAAGTGAGGAAGACATTCTATGAGTTAATACAGAAATCACCAAAGAACTGGTAAATCAGACCATACAACAGCATGATAAAACCATTAGAGCAAAGCCAAAAAAACCAATTGGAAGAATATGCCATTCCTCACACTTAATGGATTCATTCTTCTAACAGGTGAGGTTCTAATGGCCATGTGGTAAAGTGGACAAGGTTCAGGAGTCTCCTTCCTATATTAAAAGTTGTTCATTTTATATAGTTAGGCAACAAATGAATATTTTAAATTTATATACTATCAGAACATCCGAGTCTAGCATTTGAATGCCGTCTCTGATGGTGATGTGGGTGAGCAAGCACGGTCCATCTGTAGATGGTATGTGAACTGTGGAGGGCAGCATCTGAGTCAGTGCCTTTCCGAACTCAGTGTGTGTAGTCTTTCACTTCTGAATACTTACTGTAGAGATGTACGTATACAAACGTGTAATGACATGTGGACAAGGTCTTGAAACAACCCAAATGCCCGAGAATGGTACTGCTCAACTAAATAATGACAGCCACAGTAAGGATACCAAGCAACCACTAAAGTGAAAAAACTATCTGGTGATATGTGGCCATTGAATATTAGGTGATTAAAAAGCAGATGGTGTGTATGTGATATCACTCCAAGTAAAGATAGAGAGAAAGAAGGCTTTATATTTGTATATGTTGGCATATTTAAAAAAAAAAGTATGGATGGAAATAGAAAAGCCAAGGAAGGAGGGCATGTGTGTGTACTGTGGCACTGTATTTTTGGTATAAAATGTGTTTTTTAATCATATGAATGTACCACCTATTCAGAAAGTTAAATAAAGCAAGCATTTTTTTAAAGCCTATGGCTCAGTACAAATCAAAAACCACCAAAGTTCCTACAGTTTGACTGAGTGGTAATAGGCCATTACAAAAATGCCACAAATGGCCCGATTATCAGTAGAGGTTCTTGAGCCCTGGGTTCTGGTGGCATGAGTTGTGACTATGACTGAGTCTCAGAGCTCATCTGTTTTCACGCTTCAGGAAATAACTGTACTTCCCACCTAGTGTGCTGGTGACAGGCTGTTGCATGTGGAGTCCTCGGCACAGGCTGCCAATACCTGCCATTTGTGCTACAAGAAGAGTCCCCCTCAGACCATGCAGATGGTGTATTTTCTCCCTGATTCATAAGTTATAATCACATTCTCTTGAAATGGAGGAGGAAAAAAAAAACCAAAGCAACAAAAGATTGCAGAAACATGTACTTTAATTCATGGTCTAGATTCTGGTGGGCACAACAGTGAATTATTTGGAATTCAGCTCAGAAAACTCAAAGCTGCACCTGTAGATGTTATTTCAAATAAAGGACATGTGGATTTCTGTGCTTGGCTTGTACCAAGGAGTTTCCATGACACTGTGTACCTGGTCTGAGCCTTTTGGTGACTAGCTATGGCTTCTGCGGGAACTTCAATCTGCAAACTGCTGAGAGGCCTACTGTGAACTGTTTCCAGGTGTCCAGCTGAGGCAATGCTGTGAAGACCAGCACAGCTGTCCTTCCTTACATACAGTGGCACCTAGGTAGAGTCGAGAAACACGGCACAGCGGTTCATACACACGGTACAGGGGCCCAACATCTAACCTGTTAAGTTTCAAAACTGATCTTGTTTTGGCTGATCCTCCACATAATCCAATACTGAATACTGAACATTGACCATTTTAGTATGTATAATCTGTCTAAAACAGATACCATTAAAGGAAAGCCAACGTAGTCCACCAGGGGAAAATACTTCCTCCTCTTCATGTTGATTTCGTCATCAGGTCTAATCGTTTCCGTCAGTTTTGCGTCAGATGCTAGACTTTTGCAGTAGGTGACGAGACACAGACAGACAGTATCTGTTGCTCAGCTGTCGGGCGCTCTCAGCTAAGCAGTGCTCCCCCTGGCACTGGTGACAGAACTGGCCGACAGTCTCCTGAGGACCAGACTCATCACCAGGGCCAGCCTACAATCTCCACAGTCCTCAGACAGCAGAAATGTGGGCCATGCACACAATCCTAATGTATGTAAAAGTTATCCAACAAATATCAACTCCAAAATACTTGCCTTACTGAGGAAATTCAGTAAAGCCTTGAGTATATTTTAACTTTACCACATCTTTTCAATTCCCTAGAACACACTCTAATACTACTGTGTGTCCTAAGCTTGAAGCAAACCACAGTTAAGAATAATTCAAGTGGAAATTAAGATTTTTTTCTCAAGCAAATAGTTTAAAACAATAGCATCTAACTGCAGTAATGATAAGTGACATTATCAAAATGACCTCTGCATTTAAAATAAAAATAGACAAAGTGCAAAATTTTCACATTTCCTTACATTCTTAATGGACATTACAGAACACTTCTTACTGATATACTAGCAAGGTCACTGGTATTCACTTTGTAGACTTTTTGTCTTACAGTGGCCCACTCCCATCACCTGGTAACGCAACTCTAAAAATAAAAAGCAAAGAAAAAGGAAAACCAGAAGCCAGCTTAAAAGAAAAATCAACCTACAAAATTCCCCACTATCAACAAAACATGAAGTTTATAAAGGTTAGAAATTAGGAGGGAATAACTAGTGAGGCCCCAGTCCCCGGTCACACCTCCACAGTGGATGATGAAGCATGGAGAGGACCGAGCAACTCAATCTGCACACACCATGAAGTCACAAGGAACACAGTCCAGACTTTGGCAGATAAAATGTGGGTAAGAGCACTTACTTCAGCAAGATGGAATCTAACGAGAAGAGACTTTGGACTCGAATTACTTCCACATAGATAAAAACCTTTCAAGTAATCCCATTATCCACTGCCACCTTTAAAAGAACCAAGATTTAAAACATTTAAAGACTTTAAATCCCAGGTTTAGAAAATGACAGTCTAGGGCCTTCAAGTCCTCTACTGTCTTAAGTCACACCAAGGACGACTGATGTGGGATGAATGGAAGGTGGGGGGGGGGGGGGGAGTGAGGGGGGATGGGAGGTGGGGGAGGGTGGTGAGGGTGATGGTGGTGGTGGTGGTGGTGGTGACATTCCTGCCGAAGCATCTCACCAAAAAGAATCACACAAAGAGGTAGAGGATTGCATAGATTGTGTTCAAAATCAAACAGTGAAAATGCTTACTTTAAAACAGCAAAATTTGTGTATAATGCAAGTAGCATTATAAACCCATAGGATCCCATTCAAATTTTATGAATAAACAATCCATTAAATAAATAGGGCTTTCCATAAAATAACTGAAAATGTTTATAATTAGGAGAGGAACAAAGAAGTCAGAAGAAGGGGGAGCTGTAGGCTTTAGGTAAAGGACACTCCACTCTTGAGCCAGCCAGGTGTACACAGGACATCTGGCCAAGTGAACATGAGAGGGCACTTACCCACCTTCACTGAGGCAGGACCCTTGAGGCCAAAACCAAAGCAGCAACAGCAACTAAACATCTTAAAATGGTTGAAGTCCTGGGAAGTCATCCAGAACCTCGCTCACTAGTCATTGAAAGGCCTAGTCATTATAGTGACAGCCCTGTGTTACAGAAGATGACACACAGTGTTAGGCAAGGCTAAAACACTAACTACAGCACTGACAAATTTCTGTCACTGAGACCAGCCCTAGGCAGCACTGGTTCCCTAGTTCTTTTTCTATAACAGACTGAATAGTCTTCTCAGGATAGACACAGTCATTTCAAGTTTGAAAACTAGGTATGAAGGGTAATACAATACAAATAAAACCAATGTGAAACAAACATGGGATTAGTATAACTCACAATTTTAAAGTATATACTTCATTTATAAATATCTCTAATTGATAGTCTATTAAGGATCATAAATATTCAAGTGAACATTTGAATTTTCTCTTTAAGAGTTCAGAATTCTTGAAGTCTTAGACACTTAGTCTCTCTGCTCAATGTCCAAGGCTAAAAGGCTTCACACAGTCCGTTATGTCTACGGAGACAGAACAGTCTTCATTACCTCCTGTGCTGTAATAATGCTTTAAAGTTCTGCAATTCTCTTATGCTTGTCGAAAGCCTACAGGAGGAAAACAAGTGCACGTTAGTGCATACAGCTGGCGGGATGTGCACACATTTCATAGTTCATCCTGGATCCTTGAGCTCTAGAACCTGGAAGCAAAATCTAAAAGAACCAAACACTGAACACTGAGAATTCCATTTTAAATAGATATGCTGTAACTCTATTAAAAGTGACAACAGATCATGGGGCTTGGGTTCTTTGGGCTTGCTTAGAAGGGCAAAAGCAGCCAATTCATCTTCACATCAAGACTACAGATGAGAACCAGGTGTGGTGGTGCACGCCCTTAATCCCAGCATTCAGGAGGCTGAGGCAAATGGATCTCTGAGTTCAGAGGCAGCCTGCTCTACAAGATGAGTTTCAGGACTGCCAGGGATACACCAGGGAAACCCTGTCTTGAAAACAAAATAACAAAAAGACTGTAGATGAGTCATAGAAACAGTGCCATGAAAGGCTCAAAAATATTTGTTGTCTCCTACACAGTCCCTCCCTACTCCCAGTACCCATCTACATTTATGGTATTGTGTAAGGGATTATTAGCTCAATGAATAAATAAAGAGCTCAAACCCAGAAATAAAATTCTGAGATGGGAAGAAATGAAAAACCTACAAGTTCACTTTTCCCTTATGTACAAAATTCATAGTTAATGAAACAATTTCAGTATTTCTCTTCTATAGCCTAGTGATACAGTGTATACTGCTAACTACTCTTTTTCATTACCCCAGTACTTGAAGACTTCCTGTTTATTGAGAGCTTATTGTTTATTGAGGTTCCAGGCAATGATCTGAGCCTGTCAAGTGTACATACTCAATTAACTTAAAGAATGCAACAACAAAAGGTAGCTAGGACTTTGCTTTTACATTTTAGGTAAAATCAGGCTCAAATAATTGGCCCTCATAATCACCTAGGGAGTGGCACTATTGTTGGAGTGGGTATGGCCTTGTTGGAGGAAGTGTGTCACTTTGAGGGTGAGCTTTGAGGTTTCCTATGATACCACCCAGTGTCTCAGTCAACTTCTTGTTGTCTGCAAGATGTAGGACTCTCAGCTCCAGCAACACATCTGCCTGCATGCTGCCATGTTCCCTACCATGGTAGTGGACTAAACCTCTGAAACTGCAAGCAAGCCACCCTCAGTTAAATGTTTTCCTTTGTAAGAGTTGCCGTGGTCTTGGGTGTCTCTTCACAGCAATAAAAACCCTAAGATACCCAGCTAACAGGTGGGTTCTGAACAGGGAGCCAAGGTTTGCTGAGATGTACTGCTGGCAAAGGCAGGCCAGGATCCCAGGACTCCAGAACCTGTCTCCTGGCCAGCACCCACTACAGGGAGAACAGGCTCTAGACAGAATTGAAGCTAGAAGGAGACATTTCTGAGAGCCAGTGAAATTTTGATGAAGTATTCAGTTTAATTTTTTCTTTCTCAATTTAATTTTGCTTGAGCTTAAAATGTTTAAGTTATTGAAGATCTTTTTCATTTCAAATAATTTACATTTCACCTAGTTTCTTATGTTATTTTTCTTCAGATCTCAAAAATGTGTAGGCTGAATGTTTCCTGAGATGTAAAACACCATCAGCCACTACCTTGTGGGTTATATCTCAATTAGCACAGACATCCCATACAGAGAAGAGCGGGGCACAGCAGCTCACACCCTAGCACCAGGGGTTGAGATAGATCACTGAGCTCCAGGTCAGCTTGTATGAGAGTAAAATCCTGCCTAGGTAAAAATAAATATGTGAAGGAAGTAGGTGAAGGCTTGGCATTAAGATGAGACATATCTAAGTTATCTTTAAGTGACTGGTCTCCTTTGAACTTAAAATCACACTCATAAAACATACACATTAATCTCTGTCACTTGGCTCCAGTTTAAAAATAAACTTTCTCCCATAATTTGACTTACTTTGCCCTGTTACAACACAGCTTTACTTTCTATGATTCTTTTCCTTCTGCTTTATAACCCTCATCACAGCATAAATCTCTCTGTAGGCAAATTCAAATTATTTTTAAAACAATTTCTGATATAAGAAGCAAAGTGTATGTGTTTGTATACTTTTCTGATGTGATATATACAATATATATCACAGAAAGAAATGGGGTAGGGATGTATGAGAGAGGACTCCTCAGCTTAGGCAATACAGAGCAGAGAAAGTGTCATGTCTTTGATTACCTTCTTGATCACACTTTCCTTCTGTCTACTACTGTACTCCACCAGGCAGTAGCCAGCTAAAGAAAAGAATATTAGGAGACTATTTCCCTCATGAAACTGAGAAATCAAACTGAAAGGTACTGGTACTGGAAACTATCAGTTCTTTCCGGTACTGACAGAGAACTGGCTATCAGCCTGGAGGCCACACTGAGCAATGATTATAAGTTGTGTTTGTTTTGTTTTGCTCTGTTTTTGAGACAGGCTCTTTACTACATAGGCCAGGTTGGCTTTGAACTCATGATCTGCCTTCCTCAGCTTCTCAAGCTGGGGTTATGAGTGTGTGCCATCACATCCATCATTTTATCTTTATCTATTTAGCAAACCAAGAAGCATACCTTTGGGGAAAAGACAATCTTTGCAGTATATTGAAACCTGTGGGGAGAGTCAGGTCTCAGCTGTAGGTGCAATTCTTACCTTGCAAAAGCATTTAAAAGAGCAACTATTTCTTGCCGAGTAAGCTGGAAGCCTTTAGATGGACTGTTCTCCGGAAGTTTTTGGATTTCTTTTTCAGAGAATAGTATCTTCAAGGCAGTTCCTAAACCCTGAGTCTAAAGAAAATATTCATAAACTTACAATTAACTTTACACAATAGCTGCTATGAAGAACTACTCAGTAAGGACCCTGAAAACCACACGAGGGAGGTGAGAGATGGCTCAGCAGCTAAGAATGCTTGCTGCTCTCCATCCAGTGGCTCGTAACCACCTGTAATCCCAGCTCCAGGGAATCTGACACCCTCTAATGGACAGACGGACAGACGGAGGAATGGACACACACACACACACACATACATACACACTCATACACACACACACACACACACACACACACACACACACACACACACACCCTTAAAGCAGAAATAATCTCTTCTTTAAATCCTATGAATTGAGCTTTATAACACAGTGCTGGACTATGCAAGAAGCAGTATCTATCCCCTCACAGGTCACATACACATAAACACAACACTGCTCAGGAAAACTTGAGCAACCTGATGCTTGTTGAACATGTTTCTGTTCCAGATTGCCAAAATGCCTGTTTTTATCATCAGAACCACAGCATTTGACTTATAATCCTGAAAGCACATTTTTTTTTTGTAGTGCTAAGGGATCAAACCCTGCTCTACTTCAGCTCTACACCACAGACCCATTAAACACAGCTGCTACACTTAAAACCCTTAGCAATTCAAAGTTCCAAGATTATTGCAAGGTGACCCTACACTAAGTTATTTCTTAGCACTAGAGGAAAATTTGATTTCAGCACAGCTGCCTTTAAAATAATCCTATCTCACTAGCACTGTATAATCCCAGCTGATGCAGAAAGATCACAAATTTGATGTCTCAAGTACAAAGCAAGACCTTGTCTTTAAAAAAAAAAAAAGGAAAAATACCCACACAAACAAAGATTAATTTTGTCTTCTGATTTTCTGTATTTACCATCAGCTTTGGAAGAAAATCAAATAATCCTCTGTATACTGAAGATTAAGGTCTGCCCTACAGAACTTTTGCATTTTGTGCTAAGCAGCCTTTTACCATCGAAACAAACCATGTCCAAAATTTGATGTTTAATTTATATATAAATTAAATATAATTTCATTTAATGTGTTTTAGTTTATACATATAAAATTCTCTATCCATAACTAACTTTAAAAATGAATCTAAGATGGTACCAAGACACAGAACACAAAGATGTCCTTGTTCATGGACCTCCAGCACAGTTCAGTAGCATTTATCTTTCAATAACAATACAGAAAAGCCACATTTGGATCTGCTTGTTTCCAAACACAATTCATTGAACAACAAATCTTGCTAAAACTAAAGTAAGCAGCTGGGTTATGGTGGTGCACAACTTTAATCCCAGCACTTGGGAGTCAGAGCCAGGTGGATTTTTGTTAGTTCAAGGCCAGCCTGGTCTACACAGCTGGTTCCAGGATAGTTAGGGCTTACATGGAGAAACCCTATCTCGAAAAACTAAAAACTAAAGCAGGCAGAAAAATGTACGGCTATGAAAAATCTGAAAAGGAAGATCACACACACCTGCAATTTCCCCCATAATCTGCACTTATCACATCCAACACAGTCCATGATACGCGAGATGTTCTTGAAATGTAACCGAAATTCCTCCTGGTATGCAGAAAATACCAGAATTAGCCTTTTGAGATTAAGTTACATTTGGTTGAATCATATATATAAAATAAAGTTTTGAAGTTTACAAGTGATTAAGTTGTTTTCAGCAGTAAAAGATCTGACTTTGTATACACAACATAGTATATTAAAACAACAGACATTAATAGGAGCTAATATTCATGGTACATAGTCAACACAATTTACTGAGGAGGCACTTTAATGAAGGGCTGGAAAGTTAACAGTGTGAGGCCTTTACTTGTAAGAACTGAGCTGTTGCTAACATCAAATAGCTTCTTAAATCTAGTTTGTCAGGGTATTTTCTCACAGCCACAGAAAAAGTAACTAATGTAAAACATAACTCAGAATGTTGGCCCTAAAACAGATCCAGTTGTAAATCACTCAGTGCCACGCTGTGACATAGATACTCAACAACCAATGATCTCAATTTATAGCAAACTCTAATCGGACTAACATCAGAATGTTGGACAACAGGAGAAGTTCGGATGAATAGGATGAGAACACAACAAATGCTCCCACAAAGCCCCTGTTACCTTTAATGACTTGGCCCCCTTTTTGTCACCTGCAAACATGGACTTCTCATCAAAGTGCATGGGGAAGGACCTGAAACGACAAGGCCATTAGCAAGTTACCAATGAAAAGTCCAAGTGCTTGTCTTAGAGCTCTGCTAGAATTCTGTAGCCCTACAAATACTTAAAATCTGTTATTTATAATGTAGGAGGGGACAGTTCACATATACACTAATAAGACTACAGCAAGCTACATATAACTCTGTAATTTGTAAGACTGCAATATCTTAAGGAAATTAGTAAAATTATTTAAAAGTGAAACGCAATCTCCAAGTATGCCAACACTCAATATTCCTATATACTTTAATATGTAGTTTACTTCAGGTCCTTCTCCATCTACCTTTTCCTTCATGCTTGTCTTAGCACTAGTGAAGGTATTTTACAGACTATGGATGATTTAAAAGGCTATGTTCTGGAGGGAGCTAATAACATCTTGTATGTTCACTGTAATGCTTTTACACTTATGACTCTATGCAAGTTTAAACAGTAAGTGAAAGAATACCAAACAGGTAGAGCATTTTGATGCTACATAAAATCTTCAGTTCTTTATTAAAATATACATGGCCTGTTTTCAAGTGTAAACACTTCTGCAGCCAAACTTCAGGGAGGCTTTTTACTCAGCACCCGAAGAACTACAGTGGTAATATTGCTCCCGTGTTCCTTGGCTCTGCACCTCTTTTTTCTAATGTTTGGAGGATTCCAGGACACTGAAAACCAAGCCTTACTTTGTGTCCTGAAAGATGCTGAGCAGAAGGGTCTTGGTGTTGGCATCTTCTTCCAAGTTGCCAGTGTAAAGATCAACAATTGAGCGCTCAAAATAAGGGGCCACCTTTGACAAAGCACGAAGCTCAATCAAGTATAAAAAGTATAGATTTTTCAGCCTTCTTGGACCCTCCCCCTTTGTTTCCACAGGGTCAAAGCGGCGTTTAAATTCTTTGATGTTAGGTCCCCAACTAGGTTTGCCCCAGTTTTCTGAAAAGAAAGAGAAACACATTGTCTTTTAGTATAAAAAGTGTTTTTTGTTTTGCTCTGCAAAATACGTATTTTACATTCCAATACTTTTTACAGTATCTTACAAGTAAAATAGTAAGATGCTTTCCATTTAAGAAATCTGATTACCTTCCAGAAGATAATTTGCACACAGATGTAAATTGATGCTGGCATGAAGTCCTGATATAAGCTTGTAGAAGACTCTTTTCTCAAGACACAAACCTATTCAGAAAAACATGGAAAAAGAAGCCATGCCCATTAGATACAGAATATTTAATCAAAAAAATCAGTACATGGGTTTCGGTTAATATTCAGGTTATGGCTGGAATATGCAGTGTCCCTACAGGCTTAGGTTTGGGATGCTTGTTGCTCTGGTGGGGCCTAGCTAGAGGAAATACAGCGGTGAGGGCAGGGCCTGAGGGGAGTTATTATTCATGCCTGCTTCCTGTCACTCTCTGGTTCTGATCTGCAGTACAGCTATGCTCTGCCACACATTCCCTGTCATGATGTTCTTCTCATGTGCTCAGAGCCAAACAGCCATGGAGTGAACCCTCTGAAACTCTGAGCAACATAAACCTTTCTGTAGGTAAAAAGTTTCTGTCAGCTATGTTGGTCTCTTGAGATAAAAGTAACTAACACAGACATCAGAAACAAATTCAGAGATAACATACAATCAGATGGAGATTTTCACTAGAAAACAGTAAGATTCTTGTTTCAGAATGGACTTAACCACTGAGTATAATGAAAAGTTAACATAGAACAAGACAGAAAGGCCTGACCCCTTGAAGGCGGCCCAGCCACTACTGGATGCAACTGCAACGTTCCTAGGCTACCCAGAAAGCAGTTAGCTGCACAGGTTGTAGTTTAGACTAAGAATGTACTAAACACAACTACAACAATAAAGGCATTGCTTTGTCTTAGCAATAGCTGTGCCTTCCTATACCTTCCCTCTGTGTTCTTTCTTTGAATCTACTTTGTGGTGTAAAAAGAAGGGCCTTTTGCCCTGTGATGTTCTATCTAATGATGTATCATTCTATTTACAAGGAGAGATAAAACCTAGAAAAAGATCCCAGGAATGTTAACACACACACACACACACACACACACACACACACACACACACACACACACGAGAAAAAATCTGTTGAATATTTACAAGTCCCACCACCATATGGAATTCAAGGACATGATGCAAAGTCACTTCATATAGCTTCCTTAACCCACACAGATTTCTGCTAAAAATTTATGGCAAATACCAACATAATCCCACAATCCTACCTACCCCTGCTACCCTATAAGATTTTCTCTTATAGTAACATATATTGTAAGTGCACTTAGTGCCACCAAATAGTAATCTTAAGAATGGCTAGGATGGAGCTGGAGTGAGGCTCAGTAGCGGAGAATATTCTTAGAATACACATGACCCTGAATTCAACTCTCAGGACTAAAGTAAAAAAATAAATAAAACCTCAAGGCTAACGTGGCCATTTACACTGTATTTGTTATGCCACAATAAAAAAGAAAAATTTTTGATGAATATTCTTTATAGAAATTTAAAAAATGAATGAAAATAAGAATAAAAGATGTAAATTATGATTTACTTTCTGTGCATAAATGTTTGTTTGTATGTATGTATGTATGTATGTGTTCTATGTGCATGTGTAGTGAGTGCCTGTGGAAGTCAGAATAGCGTACTGGATCCCAGGGACCTGGAGTTACAGATGGTTGTGAACTGTCATGTGGGTGCTAGGAACCAAATTCAAGTCCTCTGCAAAAACCACAGAATCCTCTCTCATGTCCTCCAAATAGAAAATTTTAAGAATCCATTAGATGAAGCTTTTCTTTACCACTCAACAGGTTTTGTTTTTCTTTTTTAATACTCTTCCTATTGGGGAAAATGTGACATTAGTGTACAATCTCATTTATGTGCCAGGAGAATTTTCTTACTATAAGAGCATCTCCTTGGCGTACTGCTGCATCTTCTCAAGGACTCTCAGATCATTAGTTTACTCTGTGTCTTACCACAGATGGTTCTGAAGCAAACACCCTCACAAAAGGAAAAACAATTCTTCTGAGATCTCATTCTCTAATTCAAAATGTTATAGAGACCAAAACAGAGAGATTAAAATGTATTTTGTAGCGTCCTCCAGAAAGCATATAGCCAATTTTAAATGTTTGTAACAAGGGCTACAAGGAAAATGAAGAAATTTACTAAAATATTAAGTACTAATATCAAGAAAAATTTCCATCAAATACCTAGTCAAGAAGCAAAATGGTCAAATTTGAGGTTCAATTTCTATTCCTTCTAACCTACCTATACAGGCATTGCTTCTGCCTTACAAAATGGTCAATGTCTAGAGAAGCGACAGCAAGAAAAGCAAAGGTCATGAAAATTCACAAACCTAAAAACCAGAGCCTGTAAATGAGGAAAGTAGAGCAGAAACATGCTTCTGTGAACTGGGTGACCTCAAGCAAAATGCTGACATCAAAGATGTGCCAAATGACTGCACCAATAAGACAGCACTGGGTGGAGATGCTGAAGACCTGTAGGCCCAGCCTGGTGCCAGATAGCAGGGGCTATGCCTGCAGAGAGCAGGCAAAAGCTTCCACCTCTTGCTCTGAAGTAACACAAAACGCTATCCTACAAAGGCAATTCCACCAACTTCTAGTTCTTATGATATATAGCAAGTCTGACTAGCCAATTTAGGGAGATCTCTTCTAGATTTAATAGCACTCAAATTCATTTTCAACAGTGGGTTTAGGGGACACTGGAAGATATGTAAACATGTTTTTCATAAGAGTGCTAGATTTTCTACTGTCACAGAACTGTTCTGCATTTGAATATCTCTTGGCTGTTTTCAAGGAATTCTGACTGGTATCATCTCCACCTCCAGGTGAGGAAACAATTTCAGAAGAGACTAAGCCAGTTGCCAGTAACTAGACGTGCTCTCTGGAACCACATGCTCACATTCAGCGACTCCAAGGAGCAGGGTGCTGCTAGAGTAGTTGATACACAGTGCCTAAGGTCAAACACTGACAGATTCTGTTCTCCTCCTCTATTATCAACATTCAAGGATCTATCTGAGTCTCAACCAGGAGGGTCCAACTTATGGTTCATGTGTAGCATGTATCCAAGGATATCTATAAATGCAGCCCAATACATTTGTAGACCCCAGTATCATGTCACAGTGTCAAAATGTTGGACAGCCCAGATCTTAATTACTTTCCACAATGTTCATCTTTAGAGTAGACTCATTAAGTTATGTATCTTCTACTAAAGGTCGTTTTCCAACACAACTCATAACAGTATTCATACATGTTCACTTTAAAATAACCAAAATATATACCATAAGTGATTAAGAACAAACAGAAATCATGTCCAGAAACACAGCCAACAAACAACTGTCAGAATCAACTACTTAGAATTTAACGCTTTGCTGGAAGCTTATGGCTATGAAACAGTGATTTCCCTCCATCAATCTTGCTAATCATCCACTAATATAAAACAGTATAGCATAATTTCAAAAGCATCATACCCCCAGTTACTAACCAAAGCTGTTAAACTCCTAGAGCATTTAGCCTTTAACTCACAGCATTTTATATTTCCAATATGGAAAATATGAAGAATGAAAAATGCATTGTAAACTATACATTGCTTTACATTTTCATAGATGAATGTGGACTGTATAAACATGGGTACATATGTACAGTTTTCTGCATTTAATTCACCTTGCCTTGTTTTATACATCACAAGTGTTTCCTTGCTAAGGGAAACACCTCTGCTTTAAAAGCACACTTGTTTGCTACTAACTAGTAAAATGTGGATAACATAGGTGCAGACTGAGGAGCCAGTTAGAAAAACACAATCTGTCTAGCCTGTGTATTCATCTGGTACTGATTTTTGGCTGCCCAATACCCTCAAGATTTTCACATAATTTTTTCACAAAATATAACAAACTAAATCATGTTATTTTATTTCAAATATTGTTAAATATTAGTTGTCTAAACAATCAACCACAGATAAAAAGTTTACCTTCTAGCCATGTATAGAATGATTCTCCTTTAAAAAAAAAAAAAAGAATTTGGTTAAAATATTTTAAGTATTTGTGTATAAACAACAAATTAGGTCACTTGAGGACTACCTCTAGGAATGTCTACTCCTTTAGACTAAATAGTAAAATGGGCATATGTTTCTAGAAAAGCCCATATATAATTTAAATAACTCTGGAGAGTGTTCTTACATATAGTTTATTAAATTATTAAATTATTATATAAATACTAAAATATATCTTATTCAGTGGAGGTTTAAATCCAAACGCATGGGGGCAAACACTTAGTAAACTTAAATCAGTCTGAGGTAACAAGCATAGTATTTAATTATGCCAGCAAACTACCAATACAAAAATTAAATTATAATTACTCAATTTTTCCTAAGCCAATAGAGCTAGGTGTGTTTCCTTAATCATCTAAGAGTAAATTTCAAAGGATAATTTTCAGTGTAATTCTTGCTTAGAGTGTGACCCATCTTGCTTAGACTATAACCTATCTGCGTAGGACCTAAGACATCTCCCCAGCACCCAGGGGAAGGTGGTAAGAAACACAGAACTTGGGTTCCAGAGCAGCAGTAAGTTCCAGTGGTCTACTATACAGCATGTTGACTAGAATTAGCAACAATGTGTTGTGTTCTTACAAACTGTGGAGAGATTTTAAGTGTTTTTTGCCACAACAAAAGCTAAGTATGTAAATAAATACATATAGCACTGATCTTGTTTAGCCACTTCCCATGACACATGCTTCAAAACACTGCTGATCCATGTATATAATTTTGTCATTAAAAGAGAGAAGAACCGTTGCTGGCTCAACAACGCTCTTCTGAGTTAGGGAGGGAAAGAAAGGGGAAAAGCTGCTGGACTTTCTGAGAGGAGGAGAGAAAACCTAGCCCACAGAGGTGCTGCCCAGTCTCAGGGATAAACCCTGGGTGCTCTGCTGCCTCCCGAGTGCCTCCCCATTCCACCACAGCACAGTGCAGACAGCTTTGCGGTCAACCACTCCACCCACCCTGTGAAGGATTGGTACTACCTCGCTTCCTCAAATAACCTCAACTACCAGCTCCCACTGGGCTGGAGAAACCATCCCTTTAGACGACTTCAGCCTTCCCACTGCAAACAAGTCACAGGGACACACCAGACCTCCTGCTCAGCTCTCAGGTTCATGTTACTTCCCCAAGGAGCCTGTATTAGCTAGTTCTACTCATCTACACCTGCTCCTTTAATTCTGAATTCATCTTAAAGGCCACTTCTTCCAGGCAGCTTTTCCCATCATGTCTCATCATGCATGAGGTGCTGTTTCACCCAAACTGAGTTACACCTACTGGGGCGGGGTGCTGGGTGTCCGAGTTTCCATGTGTTGTTGTGGTGGTTGTGCACTGCACTTGCTTTCCTCTGCGCATCCTTGGCTCACAGAGGGAAAGTGTGCACTTTGTACACCCCCCACTCTGCTAATGCTACTGAACACAGGCAAGGAGACAGCAACTGGAATAATTTTCTGGCCGTTTTGCAGCCAAATGCTAGTAAACAGTCTTTATAAGATTAAGCACTATATTGAAAACTGAGAATGTAACTTTCAAAGTCAATAAGTAAAGAAATCACAAATTATCTGATTAAAAAAACTTTGCTACATTTCCTCAGAATATTCATGTAGATTAAAAAATTATTACTCATTGTGTATGTGTGTGTGTGTGTGTGTGTGTGTGTGTGTGTGTGTGTGTGTATGTGCTCATGAGTGCCACAGCATATGTGTGGAAGTCACAGGACAGCTAAGGGAATCTGCTCTCTTCTTCCATCATGTGGGTACTGGGGATTGAACTCAGGCCATCAAGGTTGGCAGAAAGTGTCTTTACCACCAACTTTCAAGATTTTGTTAACAGAAAATAGGAAAGTGGTACTTTCTATACTTTCTAAACATTTAAGTAAAATGGTCCTTTTTTTAAACATAAGACAATTCTGTTATTTAAAAAAAATTCATTTTTATCACCATTCACCATTCTTTTCCGGAAAAAAAAAATAGGCTAAGCCACCTGCTTTTGGTGAAAAGAAGAAAAACACCAAAATTTAATAGTAAAAAGGTTTCTTCCATGGTTGAAGTAAACACGAGTCTCAACTCACCATCATCTTCCCCTAAAGGAGAAAAGAGAAAGACATTACAAAAAGCCTTACCCCGTTCAGATTCCAGTCCTGCTAATGTTAACACATGGCTTATCCTCACTGTTAAACTGTTCACTATACCATGAACTCTGATCACTATTGCAGGCATCCTGCAAATAAGAGCCTTGTCTGCAAGCCAAAGAGTACAAGATTCCCACATTCTACAAAACAAACAGGGGGAGGGAGGGGGGAGACAGGAAGAAACTGAGAAGGGAAAAGGAACTGAGCCTGGCACACAGGTGCATAATCCTAGATACTTGAGAGGCTGAGGCAGGACAACATCCCTGAGTTCAAGGCCTGGGCTATGAGGTGAGTTCTAGGCTGGAGTAGCCTTCTAGGGAGCTGGGGATATAGCTATGATAAAATGTTAGTGTGCATAAAGACTCGGTTCCATCTCCAGCACATTAAAAGATCAGGAAGCAACTGAAATGGCCAGAGGCAGCTAGTTTCAGCGCTTAGCAAATACACAAATATCCTTCAGGCACTCCCCCCCCCCCCAACCTCTGTGGACAGGATCGTGTCCATGCTGAGTACTTCTCTAGATGATTACTCTTTTGCTCAGACAGCCTGAACAAGAGGGTCAAGGGCACGCTCCTGGGATGGGAATGGCCCAAGGCTGAGCTGGCTCCTCCATTGCTTACTTTTGTTGCTTTTGCCTGACAGATTCTGACAGAACAGTTTATTTTTCAGAAAAAGGTTCTGTTACTCAAAGACTTTTGGAAAAATATAGAAGTCTAGAGCTGCCACTGCTTCAGGAACACAGTGGAAGGCTGAGGAGGCAGAGCCCTCTCCCAGCATGTCAGTAGGGAGCCCTCCAAGTCAGCCAGAGTTGCAGGCTTCCTTCAGCAGCCCAGAAGAGCTGCGCCCGCTCTCACTGCCTTGGCTTGTCTCTAACAGTCTTTCCCATGTTTTTCTTTTCTTCCCTCCCGAGTCTCGTTGTTGATTTTCCCCCCTCCTCATCTTTGCTGCAGGTTTTGGTCTAATTATGGTAAATGGAAACAAAGTGTTTCTTTGGATTTGACATCTTTTGTGAAACAAACAATTGTATTTTCTACTTTGAAACAAAGTAACTACAGAAAAGGTCTGAAGAAATGCCCTCCTTAACTATAACAGGAAACAGAAGGAGGGATGTCCTAGTGTCCTTTATACAGCTTCCATGGTGTCAATTTCTATAACATTTTGTGTAATTAAGACAGTGAAGTTGAAACCATAAAAGTTATGATATAAAAACAGCAAAAGAGACAAAATATAGAAGTCATGACCACTCTGCTCCTAGTCCCAGCTTTTACCAGTCAGTTTCAGAATGAGTTTGGAAAATAGCATTTTGCCCTGACAGAGCCAACATCTAAAGGCAATGCTTATGTTCAACCACTCCACATCTGTTTGGGCCTCAGGCCAGAAGGCACAAATCTACTTAGGAATGTCAACGTTTTCACTCAGTCCTGGTCTAAACTCTGGAATGGTAGGTCAGCTACAGGGTCAATCCCAGAGATTAGCTGTTCCTAGAGAAGAGGATGGAAGTCAGGCGGCGGTGGCATATGCCTTTAATCCTAGCACTAGGAAGGCAGAGCCAGGCGGATCTCTGTGAATTCAAGGCCAGCCTGGTCTACAGAGCAAGAGCTAGGACAGGCAACAAAACTACACAGAGAAACCTTGTCTCGAAAAACCACAAAAAAAAAAAAAAAGAGAAAGAGAAGAGGACGAAGATGTCCCCACTGACCTCAGCATGCTACACCACCTGAACAACACACTGGCTATACATGTACCTTACATATGTTTTTACAGTAAGACCTCAGCATCATGTGCTGTGGGCTAAGAGCTTTGCTCAAACATGGAAGTTCTCTATGACGACAAAGGCAGCTGACACTGCCACCATCTTTATAATCAAGTGAACTAAACTGAAAATGTCAAATTCAGGTTCACACTGACCATACAAACACTTACTGGCCAGCTGGCCATTGGTTACTTAGTGGAACAGTACAGGGCCTGGAGCAGTGCTGAGGGCAGCCTGAGTGCCTGCATGCTCATCATCCTTCCTGTGCAGAGAGCGTGGTGCATGGGTAGGACCCCAGAGAACCCTTTAGATAGGTCTCTGGTGGGGCCCAGCCTCCTGTGCTGTGTGCTCCCCTGGCTCCCAGGTAACATGTGCGCACTGTGGAGAAGCTGTGATGAGCCCCCCAACTCTCCACTTTTGCTGCACATCACCAAGCAAACAGAGGTTCTTAACCTGTAGGTCAGGGGTCACATATCTGATATCCTACACATCAGATATTTAAATTATGGTTCATAGTAGTAGCAAAATTACAGTCATGAAGTAATGAAATAAGTTTATGGCTGAGGGTCACCACAATATGAGGAACTGTATTAAAGGGTCGCAGCATTAGGAAGGTTGAGAACCCCTGAATAGAGTGTTTAAAAACGTGGGGACAGGGTCCTCATTCTCTGGCTTCTTAATTTACTGTTATGGGGCAGGACCTTGGCCTCCAGAGTTTGAAATTTCAGGAAATCTGAGGTATGTACGATCCCTCACATCTTCTAATCCATCCTACACCAGGCTCCTAGTTTAGGACCTGGCACAGAGTTCCAGAAGACATCTAGCCTATTAACTCATGCTTGTGTTAATCACTAAAATTAAGCAAAATATAAATTGCTGATTTACTTTTTTTCAATTTGAAAATGCATGAAATGTACAGAAAACCCACCTCGGCTGGGTGCCAGGGGATTTAAAGGCCGATACACAGACCGAGGCCTGGAAGAGAGCACAAAGCCCAGCTGTGAAACCGTGTGGCTTGTTATGTGTCACCTTCTCCCAACAGAAACAGCCATCTGCCTCTCCCTCTAGCCCTCCATTACTTGAAGCAGTTCTCTTCATAGATGCTGTTCCACACCCTCCATGCCGAGGAGCCCTTGTAGCCGGTGTACCGCTCTGGGTTCAGCAGCAGGTCCACATACTGTGCAGCAGGAGATCGTTCATCTGCCAGGAACAAGTGGTAAGAAAGACCACTCAACTTCACTACTCCCTACAGCTTGGCATCACAAAGCAGTGACTCCCCAACCAGAGAAGTGCTTGCTTCAAGTCACATCCAGCTCGCACTGTTGGGTGGTTAACCCCTGTGACCGCACTTGACCCTGAATTTATAGAACTTGGACAAATTACTCGAGAGGAAAAAACAACTTCTTCCTTTCTTTGGCTTTTCAAAGTTCACTCAAGTAACATTCTCTATCTTAGTTATAACCACCCAGGAATAAAAAGAAATAACAGAATCAGATTTATGTGATGTTTTTTCTTTCTATAATGATCTATCTCAACATAGACTAGGAAACACTATTTTGTTACATCTCATATTACAAAGATTTTTCCATAATTCTCTACAGAATAATTTGGTCATTAAACTTCCTCTTCCTTTCCTACCTGGTAGTGTATTTTCTGTCACTGAACAAGATTCATTAGCTATTCAATGACTACCACCCCCATAATTATAGGGGAAACTGGCACCCTGGCCCACGCTCTTTGAAGGCTACCTGCTGCTATCATGATGTAGGAGGAATATAATGGTAACAACAAATTGTCATTATTAAATAGACTGAATATAACAGAGATAATGGAAACATGATTTTACAGAATGCAAGATCTCTAATTCTAATCACAAAGATATCACACTACACAAATTTAAGCACAGGAAATAAGTTACAAATGGATATACAAAAACTCACAAGCAATTTAATTTGAACTGAAATCATTACTTTTAAAAATTCTAATAAAAAAAAGTTCAAGCCATGAGGTTTTTAAAAACATTGCTTTTTAGGGCTAAGAATGTAGGATGCAGCTATGTGGTTTTTGATACCTGCAAACAAACACAAACCTTAAGAAAAAAAAGTATATTTTTTTCTTTTTTGTAATTAAACAATAAGAATTGTTAAAATTTATTATTTAATTTCTATTTTTTCCAGAGTAGAAAAAAAAAAGACAAGGTTACTGAGTACACTTCAAGGGAGCAGTGGCCAGGGCAGGAACAGAATGGCCTGACTCATTTATTTCTAAGCTTTGTATCTTTCATTTTTAAAATTTTATGTATGGGTATTTTGCCTGCATGCATGTTTGTGCACCACATGCATGCAGTTCCCACAAAAGCCAAAAGAGGGTGTCAGATTCCTGCAGCCAAAGTTACACATCGTCATGTTGGGAATTGAACCCAGGTCCTCAGGAAGAGCAGCCAGTGCTCTTAACTGTTGAGCCATGTCTCCAGCCTCAGTTATGCATTTTTAACTTCTTTTAGCTGTTTTTAAACTCATCTGTAAAGCAGATTCCATTATATAGAAAACTTCTTGAATATCACTGAATGCCATTACTGTATTCTCTGATATAAACATGCATGCATACGTGTACAACACACACACACACACACACACACACACACACACACACAATCTATACTTTCTGAGTGTATGCGTGTGAAACTAAACATGTGCAGGTCTGATATGTATGTGTGGATGGGACTAGCACCAATCTTCTCACCACAGAAAACCCACTCAACAACTATAAAGGAAAAAAGATTCTGACATCAAACCATGACAATTTACTGCTGTGGGATGGTCTTTCTGTATGCTGTGAATATGTGTTGCTATGACTGATTAATAAAGAAGCTGCTCTGGCCTATGGCAAGTCAGGTTATAGCCAGGCAGGAAATCCAAGAGGGAGACAGGAAGAAGACAGACAGACAGAGACGCCAGCCTGCTGCCAGGAGAAGCAAGATGTGAAAGTACCAGTAAGCCATGGAACACGTGGCAACTTATGGATTAATAGAAATGGGTTAAGTTATAAGAGCTAGCTAGCAAGAAGCCTGAGTCATAGGCCATCCAGTTCATAAATAATATCAAGCCTCCCAATGATTATTTTATAAGCAGCCGCCGACTGTGGGGCGGGTGGGACTGGAGAAAACTTACAGTATATTTTAGTGAGTCAGCAATGTAGCTCAGTGAAAGCATACTTGCCTAGCACGTATGAAGCCCTGTGTTTGATAATCAGCACCACAGATGTGTGCATGCACACACACAAGTCATCTAATAAAGTATTTTAAGGAAAAGTTTTAAAAAGTGTATAATCAAATTATATCAGTTAAAAAAACTCGTTAAATAAAACTTTTATTCTTGGGTTTCCTTCATTTTAAAAATCTTTTAATACTTTTTCAAATCATGGAAAGGGTAGGATTTGTTAACTTATGCAAGGGGGTTGGCAAGCTACCCGGGGCTGAGTGTGGCTTGGGGCTGGGAAGGACAGGTCCTGAAGACCACGGAGCATGTGCTCAAGTGCTGCTTTCACATCACCCCAGACCTGAGAGTGTGCCACAGGTACAGAGTCCACAAAACCCAAGACTTCTACCTGATATTTAAAAAAAAAAAAAACAACTTGATAACTGCTGTGGGATGGTCTGTATGTCAAATGTGTTGCTGATTGGTCAATAAATAAATCACTGATTGGCCCGTGGCCAGGTAGGAAGTATAGGCGGGACAAGGAGGAGAATAGAGCTGGGAAGTGGAAGGCTGAGTCAGAGAGACACTGCCAGCCGCCATGATGAGAAACAGCATGTAAAGATGCCGGTAAGCCACGAGCCATGTGGCAAGGTATAGATTAATGGAAATGGATTAATTTAAGCTGCAAGAACAGTTAGCAAGAAGCCTGCCATGGCCATACAGTTTGTAACCAATATAAGTCTCTGTGTTTACTTGATCGGGTTTGAGCGGCTTGGGACTGGCAGGTGAGAGAGATTTGTCCTGACTGTGGGCCAGGCAGGAAAACTCTAGCAACAGATAACCCCTGACCCACACTGATAAAGAATTCCTTCTGTCCAGAGTGAGCAATGCAACTAGTTCCCATAGTGGTGCTATGGCCATCCTCTCCCACAGGCCAGTTATGACACTGATTCTAACTAATTCAAACAGAAATTGTATTCTTTACACTGATGTGCCTTATAACTCCTATGTCCCCCTCCCTGAAAGTTTCCTTCCCTCTACAAAGCTATCTTTTCTATTTGACCATGCTAACCACATAGAGACCAGAGGGTAACCTCAGTTGTCTGTCCTGCCTCTACCTTGAGATAAGGTATCTATCTGTAGCCAAGCTAGCCTTGACTTCTATGTAGCCAAGGATGACTTTGAATTTCTGATCCTCCCTCCTCTATATCCCAAGTACAGGGATCACAGGCATGAGTCGTGGCACTAAGAAGTGCCTCTCTGGTAAGCATACTTAAGTGTCAACCGGAGCAAATGAAAGAACAGTGAAGTAAAATAAACAGTGACTTGAGGTACTTCCACTCAGAAGGTAGCTCTGACAAACCATCAACTCTAACCATCACAATGAGGGCATTTCACATTGCCCTGGTTGTCTATTTGTATATCTAGATAACCATGGTAACACTTGAGCTCTCAGTTCTCATCTTGACTCTTCTACAGCATGAGCCCTCCATAACTTACTCCATCTTAAAGTGCACGACAGCACAGTTTGGTGTGGTCTGAATGAGAATGGCTCCATAGACTCATATGTTTGAATACCTGATCCCCAGTTAGTAGAACTCTTTGGGATGGATCAGAAGATGCCTTGTTGGAGGAACTGGGTCACTGGGGGTGGGCTTTGATGTTTCAAGAGACTCCAGCCATTCCTGGTGTTCCCTCTCTCTGCTTCGTGCTTGAGGATCCAGATGTGAGCTCTCAGCTATTCCTGCCACACGCTTTCACTCTACCACCATGGACTCTAGCCCTCTGAAACTGTGAAGTCCAATTAAATGCTCTTTTTTAAATTTTCTTGTATAAGCTGCTTTGGTAGAGGTATTTTATCACTGCAATAGAAAACTAAGACAATCTAAGAATCTTCTTCAAATCATTACAAAGCAGCATGACCATCTTAAGATTCCTAAAGGACTTGGAAGTTGCTGCTGTCCATTTCCGTCTGTGTAGGTTGAGTCTCAAGTTCTTTCCTACTTCCCACAAGTTAACACTACATTAAAAACTGAAGAGAGGTCAAATGAATGATTTGAATGCACAACACAGTGGAAATATTCTCAGTCAATTTTGAGTTACTGTAATTTTCTTTTGTTAAGAGGAGCGGTAATTACTTGTCTGACCCCATCCTGCCTATGTATCCTTCCAAGGGATGCTTGGAAAGAGAGGGCTATAAGGAACACAAGTCAGAGTCCTCCCTAGTACTGCAGGAATTGTTATGGTTTATTGAGAACTCCACCAAATTCTCATGGCCTGTTCACAGAACCAAGTGATCTGAAGTGAAGGCCCACAGGAGATGGCATGCTGGAATGTTAATACAGGTTTGGGACTCAGATCTAAGACTGAATCATGTCTTAGCCTCTTGCTATTAACCTCTCACAATTAATGCCACTACCAATGGTAAGGTCTCCATAGAGAAATCTAGTGTTAAACACTAATTTAGGTCATATTTTCAACAGTTTGTCTTATAAAAGGCTTCAGGTTAAAGTGATGATGACAATTTATTTTATTACCATCAAGTTCACAAAAGTGATCCTGTGAGTCATCATATCTCGCCCAGTCAATGAATGCTTCTTTGCTTTCATTACTATGGGAAGGAGGAATAAAAAACAATTACATTTGGAGCTGACATTTTAACATTGCATTCTAGTGAACAAAAATAGAGATCATTTCTTCAGAAGATGATGCCACAAATTCTAGCAGTAGTTAAATGAAGGAATGATAAAAAGTCACATGAAAAACACAGCTATCACTTTTGATGAGTTGTTTATATTTCCTAACTACTTTAAAATGATTCTGAGCCCTAGTAATTACTTTGAATTTAATTTACAAAACATATAACAAGCCCTTATATACAAAACTCAACTGACATACAAATGTAGTAATGTTATTTTTTCTAAAGTAGTTCAGCTTGTTTTCTGAATTCTTTAAATTTAAGTTGCTTCTACATTTATAGAACCCCCAAATACCAACCCCCAAATATCAAAAGCACAACTCAGGCTGTGGTGGCACACTGGGCTGTGATGATACATACCTTTAATCCCAGCAACTGGGAGGCAGAGGCAGGCAGATCTCTGAGTTCAAGGCCAGCCTGGTCTAGAGAGTGACTTCCAGGACAGCCAAGGCTACACAGAGAAACCTGACTTGGAAAAAAAAGTCATTGATATAAACAAAGTACAACTAAACTTGCCTTAATGTACTATTGATGGCGCCCAGCTTGTTAGCCTGCTCACAGTCTTCCAGTTCTTTGGTATTGTTTGCCACTTGCAAGTACTACAAGAAAATTCATATGAAGTTGAATGACAGTGATTAGCTCTTCTTCAGCAGACAATCTATCAATGATGACTTGTTCTACCATCAAAATCCTTACTGTAAGAAAGACTTAAAAATAAGGCATAAATCTCTACCCATTAAGTGAGCAAAGGCATTAAAAATGCAACAGCATGTGTATGCTGGTGATGATGTCATCCAAGAAAGAAATTGGATAAATATGTATCTATAATTTTACAGACACATAAGTCCTTAGAATGGAGTCTTCAACTTAGACCATATCCCAAGGAAACATTTTTTTAATATTATAACCATCTTAGTGTTTTGAATCATTTTAAAATTGTCTAGCATCCCACTTCTATACACAGTACTACGGAAACTTTCATGTGCATACAGTGAAGCTGGGGATAAAAATGCCAGTGCTTCACTGCAAGAGCAAAGAACCAGAATGACTAAACGTCCACATGCAGGGTGGTTACTGTTAGTCAAACAAACAACTAGCATATTGCCGTGAGGGTGAATGCACAAGATCCAATGTGTCAACAGAGAAAGAAGTTTAGAAGCAAAAACAATGAGCCAAAATGTAAACTGAAAATTATTTTCAACTTGAAGAAATTACTAAAATTTTTAACTTTCCATAAAATAATTTGTATATTACTGTACTGCAGACACATGCTCTGAAAGTGTGTTATTTATAGACAGATACATATGTAGTCAGAGCAGAACTACATAAGTCACTTCAGGAAATGGATGGCTCTGGGGAGGAGGAAGTAAAATGGGATTAGAATGGTGTTCAGCAGGTGCACTACCTTGATACTGCTTTGTTTATTATAGCTTTGAAACCAAAGTAAATGTGAGCGAGTGAATATCAACAATGCATGGAAGAGATGGATAGAACAAGGAGACAGTACACAAGAAGGCAGAGAAAGAAGATCTTCATCATGTATGTGCAGCAGTGGAAAATGAGAGTTAACTGCCAGCTAAGAACACAGCTTACTCATTAATGGGGGGAGGGGGGCACAAAGAATACCTTAACACCATTTCCAAGTACTTGGCTCAAAATATGATGGTAATAATTTTCTTTGTATAATGTAATCTGAACCTAACAGACACTAATTGAAACAGAAGAATGAAAATAGCTACTAGTATTTTTTGCTGCAGCTACAACTTAGAGTTTTTCATCTAGAGATTCTGCAAACGGATGTCATTTCAAAAGAAGCTAGGAATGCATGGTCTCACTGCTTGATTCAAGAGTTAACGATTTGAATTCTGAGGCCAAGTGTCTCCATGCTCAGCTAAACTCGTGGCCCACCCATATCCAGAAATACTCAAGGAAGAAAAGTAACTTACCTTATTTGAAGGCCCAGCTTTAATTCCAACTGGAATTTTGCTCTTAAAAGAAAAACAGTAACATTACTTAGAAGACAATCAGAAAGGATGGCTGCTATCAGAGGAAAGGAGGGGAACAAGAAGAAACTGATCTCAAATGCATATGTACTTTGCTTCCTATGTTATGACTTCTCTTTTTAAAAAATGTATACTTTATGTGTATGAGTGTTTTGCCAGCATATATGCATGAACATCATGTGTATGCCTACTGTCTGTGGCAGCCAGAGAGGGCAGGCACTGGATCCCCTGGACCTGTGGTTATGGATGGCTCTGAGCTACCATGTGAGTACTGGTAACTAAAGACAGGACCTATGTAAGAGCAGCAAATGCTCTTAACCCCTGAGCCACCTCTCCAGCCTCTATTGTGAGTTTTTGATCAACAGTGTGTTTATTTCCTATCAGAAATGTAGCACAGAAGAGGCTATAATGCACTACAGATGGAAAGTAATTGGTCATTTGAACTTAGGAATTAAACACTCAACTTAGAAGCCAGCCAGCATTGTGACTCATACTTGTGATCCCAGAACTCAGGAAACTGAGGAAGGAAGACTGCCATGAATTCAAGGCCAGCCTAGGCTATAGGGAAAGAACCTATCTCCAAAAATCCAAATCCAAACACACACACACACACACACACACACACACACACACACACACACACACACACACAGACACACACACACACACACACACACACACACACACGAATACAGAGTATCAAAGTCAAATCGGTCAGGTCTAGCTACATGGCACAGGCTGAGACAGGAACATATCAATTCCCAGGCCAACCTGGGCTACATAATGAGACCCTATCTCAAACAACCAAAGCCAAATAATGAACTTCTAATATTCAACAGTAAGAAAACTATTTAAAAATGGGCAGGCCTGGGTGTGTAGCTCTGTGGCCAGGTGCTTGTTTGGCATGCACAGGTCCTGGGTTCTGATCTCGGCAGGAAAAAAAAAATACTGGCTCCTGTTCCAGAGGAGAAGGAACTAAAGAAACAGGACAACAACATGCAGCCCTTACATCGGACTGGACTGACAAGCTACAAAGCACAACACATAGTCAGCAGATGACATGTGATTACTGTCTATCAAAATGATTAATATCCTGATTTTGTTAATTTGGCTATAGTCATATACAAAAAAAAAAAAAGCTTTGCTTCTAATGAAATACAACAGTATTCAGACATAAAGGACCAGTCTACAGCACGCTTAAATGGTTCAGGGAGTAAAGCAAACATGTACATCCAGGTGATCTGAATAACACGTCCATGGGGTCCTTGGACCATTCTTAGAACTTTCCTACAAGTCTGAGATCATTTAAAACTAAAATCACTTTCCATGAATATCTTATTCTTGTTGGAAAAGAAAGATCTTTTTTTTTTTTTTTTGGATTTTCGAGACAGGGTTTCTCTGTGTAGCTTTGCGCCTTTTCCTGGAACTCACTTGGTAGCCCAGGCTGGCCTCGAACTCACAGAGATCCGCCTGGCTCTGCCTCCCGAGTGCTGGGATTAAAGGCGTGTGCCACCACCGCCCGGCAGAAAGATCATTTTTAAAGAATCTTCCATTTAGGATGACACTGGTCCAGACGCTCTTTTTTAAAACTATTTTTAAGGCCCACAAACTAGCCTGATTTGGTAAGAAAAGAATTGAAAACTGAAATATAGCTTAAAACTAATTGTTACTGAGGGAGAATAATTTAAAATTTTGTTATATGTCAAAACTGAAGTATCAGAACTTGGGGTGTATCTCAGTGGTACCAGCCTATTATGTGTGAGAATGTAGGTTCCTATATATGTGTATGTGTGTCTGTCTGTCTGACACCCCCCACCCCCCACCCCCACACATCCCTAAAATGTAACAGTCCCTTGGTAAAAATAATTGTTATGCTTTATTTATATGGTAGTAAACATATTTTTAAAGAAAAAAAGCAATGAAACTCTAGGCTGGATTTTCTCACTTCATACACTGAAATCTCCATTTTAAATGTGAAGTTTAAAGTCCTGAACTTTTCTTTTTGCCTATGAAGCAAGATCAATGAAGGCCACTGCAGGTCTAATCCTAGAACAAGGCTCTGGTCTTCCTCCCATTTTAGAATCAAGACTTATGTTCACATCCCATCACCAACAGGACTGGACACAGATTTCCTCAACTCATCTTTCAAGGGGTCTAGTCATAAGAGCTGAAAGCCTATGAAGTTTGTGAATAAATCATAATAAACAAGGATACAGAGGTTGTGGTTTTTTGAAAGCCCAAGAGGAAGCCTCCCCCACATTATTATACTCTTACTTACTGTACCTCTGGACAGGGCTCCACATGACAGTCTTTTATTGAGCAGTGGCCATCTTCTGCCCAGAAAGGACATGGTCGCTTCAGATTAACCTTTCGAGGAAGAAGAAATCAACATTAACAACTGAGTATGATAATTACAGAATGTTTGCCAATGTCACTATGTTGGGCATGGTGACACAGTGGTGATAAGAGGGAGAAACTTCTAGTCCTGTGGCACGTACACAGTTCAGATATTAAATGACTGCAGCTGGGTGGCATGTTAACTTTTAAAACAAATGGCTATGGGTTCTCTGACATTGGAAAAGAGGGACAGCATTTAAGTTCCCTGCTCCTCTGAAGCATAGCTATCATTGGGCAGCATTTCAGAATGACTTTAACATTCCCCAAACACTCACCACCACCTTAGCATCAGGGTGCCCACACTCCCTCAGTCAGTATGAACTGAGCACTGGCTATCTGTCAGACACCGGGGTAGGCTCAAGGCAAAAGAGAGCTTTCTCTCTCTAGGACTTATAATATCCTGAAGAAAAGAGAAATCAAATACTAACAAGTTTATTTCATTACAAATTGTAGTACATGTTCCAAAGGAGAACCCAGAGTTATGTAGTAGTGATGCTGATGGGTAGAGCCTCTGAGGAGGTCATACTTTAGGAAGATGAAAAGTGGGGGACATGTGTATTTGGCTACAGCAATGGAGAGCTTTGTGGTGTTAAGAATGAAGAACCGCCGGGCAGTGGTGGCGCACGCCTTTAATCCCAGCACTTGGGAGGCAGAGGCAGGCGAATCTCTGTGAGTTCGAGGCCAGCCTGGTCTACAATGCGAGTTCCAGGAAAGGCGCAAAGCTACACAGAGAAACCCTGTCTCAAAAAAACAAAACAAACAAACAAAAAAAGAATGAAGAACCACCAGTCCCACCATTGTTAGGAGGCAAAGAATGGACAAAATGGCAGAGGTTACTGATTTCCAAATTCTTCATACAACAGGAAGCTGATAATCCAACAGGACTTACAGATGTATTGCCCAAGCTAAAAATCAACGTTTTCTGTTTCCTCTCTTACTTGTTACTTATTTTTTTACCACTTCCACAACCACCATTTGTCTCCTGCCTAAGCTACTGCAACAGTTCCCCACTTTCTGCCACTATGTACTGCACACAGCAACAGTTACATCAAAAGCAAGCAGACCCTACCAGAGTCTGCTCAGAGCTTTTCCTGTGCCTTTTCCTCCCCTTGGAGGAGCAAACCCAACCCTGCAGCAGCTCTACAGGTGCCGCTCTGTAGCCACTGTCCTCTGTCTCCTTTACCTCATCTGTTACACTACATTTCTGCTTGACACACCAGGTTCCTTAAGTCCCAAAGTCTCTATACTGCCCATTCTCTTTATCTGCTATTGCTCCTATAGGGGGCTTGTTTCTCCACCTTACTGAGGTCTTTCAACAGCAGCAGGCCTTGGCTAGACCCTCTAAAGTAGTAATTAGAATGTAACCACCACCCAATATATTGCTGTATAGTTTTGGTGTGTGTTTGTATATGTATTTGTGTATGTGCCATGTGTACATGCTCATGCTTTTAAAGCTGGCCCCAAACTACCTCTCTAATCCTCCTCCTCATTCACCTGCTTCTGTGGCCTAAGCCTTCTTCTAATTCTTCAAATATACTAAGCTTACTCCTGTGTCAAAACTCTTCAGCCTACTCATTCAACTTCCCTGGAATGTTTTCCACAGATCTCACCACACTTATACTTTCACATTAGGATGGTCTTTGCTCAAATGTCACATTAGCATAAATACCATCCTTTCCTGAACATTTCATCAAAGCAAGGCTACTTATCTCTATATCCCTTACGCCGCCCCATTTATACTGTCTCCTGCTTTTTCTCTACAGCATTCACCTTACATCTGACATTACAGTTCACTGTCTATTTACTTAGTGTTTATCTCTCTAAGCAGAACCAAAGCTTTGTCTTGTTCACTGCTGTATCCACAGTACTAAGACTAGAGGCTGTCATGAAGTCATCAATGCAACCAACTGCCCAGCTGCAAAGGTGAGTGGTTGCTTCTACCTCCACTTCCTTGTTTGCTGAATCCAAGTATCTATCTGTGTGTGTGTTTGAAATCAACTTTGTTATTTTTGCCTACTTAACTTTCATTTTCCCTTCTTCTGGAAAGGTCTTATTTCTCCTTGATAAACAATGATTCCTCATGTTCCTTTGAATGGCACTGTCATCCAAAGTATACTTCCTTCTTTTGGTAAAGGTATCACATGACTACCTGGACCAATCATGATTCTCTCCTCTAGAAATCTGACTCTTGTATAAAGAACAAAAGCTACGGGAAAACAGCTCATTCAGCCCGGAAGTTGTAGGGCTGATGACACAGCTCAGTGGAACAGTGCTTGCCTAGATGCCTAACAGGTCAGATAGCCTAGATTCAACCACCACGAAGTTTTGGTGGTATCCTAAAGAGAACGGCCACTAGTGCCTGCTCCACTTTCATCTTTTCTCAAGTGTACTACTTCAGTCAGTCTTTAAATTTCGTACACTACTTAATTATTTTCTCTCTTTCTCAAACTTCTGGGTTTTTTTAGTCAACACAAGTACCCTACTTAGGATACTCAGGCCTATGATTTCTTCAGTTTAAAAATGTGGATAATAACAAAACTTCGTATGAAGAGTAAATGAGATATCTATTCATCCAAATATTCAATTCCTCAATGGAGCAGGCCTTGTATGGATACAAAAATAGAAGATGCAATCCCAAAAGGGAGGTGTACATGAGTGAGGGTTGGGACAGAGTCAGTGGCAATGTCACCTGTACACCCAATGAAGGCACAGTCTCTGACAGCACACAGGAAGTTTCTACTGCATTAGACTGAACCACATGAAGTTGGTATGTTCAACCATTTTGAAATATGAAAGTAACTTCACATGATTTTTCTAATATTATAAAGGAAACAGCTTCACATACAGTCAGTGATTTCATGCTGGAACTTAGAAGCACCTATCTTATTTGTAATGAAAGATCAGCCATAGTTTAGATACAGATTTGTCTTTGAATTCCTAACAGATTCTGTACAAAGGAGAAATGAAAGATCAGCCATAGTTTAGGTACAGATTTGTCTTTGAACTCCTAACAGATTCTGTACAAAGGAGAAACATTCACTCCTTTCTGGATATTCTTAGTATTTGTGGGCAAAGGAATTGGTTCCCAAATCTGTAATTTTCTAATTTATCTTCTTGAACAACCTACAATTGCCAAAAGACTAAAATTTTCACCCTCAAAAATATTTAAAGAGCTAAGATAATCTATTCAGAATCAAGATTAAAAAGGAAACCATGTTTAAATTTTAGAACAAACTGAAATGAAAATCAAATTATATACCAACTAAATCCTGAAAGCAAGAACAAGACCAAAGTCAAACATAGCTTTAAAATCTAGTTGTGAAATAGAGCTGTGCACACACACAGAGGACACAGACTGGAGGAACAGGGAGTGAATTATGGTCAAAGTACATGATGGACTTGAACCAAAAGGCCATCATAAAGCCCACTGTTTGGTGGATATACACTAATAATTTTTTTAATTCACTAGACTACACTTTTGGTATTTTCTCCTTAAAAATGTAAAATTGCAGTTGTTTCTCTGAGTTCTGATTGCTGACATACTTAAAAGTCTGCTACTGCCTTTTCTGGTATTTCCAGAAGGCCTAGAGACTCACTCGAGGTTAAAAACAGATTCTACAGAATTACTGCAAGGGTGTGTTCTACTTGTAGCATCACCTGGTCTGCAGCCCCCGCACGGCAGGTCAGTGACAGTCTGTTACTCTGCATTGCTTACAACACACCCATTATACAAACATGACGCCCACCTGAAGCCCGGACAGCTCAGTCAGACCACAGAACCTATGCTCACAGAGGCTGACAGTGTGGGCAACTGGAATGTCTGTAAAGGAGGAGTCTTCATGTCAAAACCAAAACTGAAAGCATGATTCCTCAAACATAGGGAGGGGGTACAGATTCTTGGTATGTAATAAAATAATTTTTCCACTATGATACTTTTATTTATTAAAGTTTCATTTTTAAAAGATTTATTTTGAAAAACATAATAAAACAAGTCACATTTGCTGACAACTATATAGAAGTCTTTGGATTAACAGAATTAAAATTTTCCACCTTACCTTGTAATAACGAAAATAGTCTCGTTCTTGTAACTTTTGTAATTTGGGGAAGATTTTGTAGGTGTTGAAGTTATCAATGCTGTCAATGTCACACAAGCAATCATCCAGAACTCCAGTCACCTAGAACGTACATATGTATAAGATACAAGATATACAAATCACTAATGTTTTAAATCTAGTCTATTATATTAAAAGAATTCATTCAAGTTGGCCAGTTTTACTGATTAAGATTCATAACATTAGGGCCAATTAAATGGCCTAGTGGGTAAAAAGTGCTTGCTGCCAAGTCTGACGAGCTGAATTCAATCTCCCTCCACAGAGGGGAAGGCAGGAACTGACTCTTGAACTTATCCTGTGACTTCTGTATACATGCCATGCCACGTGTGTACTCAGCCCCCAACACATACACAAAATAACTACTGTAAAAACTACTTTTAAGATTCATGACATTAAAGCAGTCATTTTTTAACTATGGCAGTTGAATATAAAAAACAACCACAAAACCCAAGAAAGTTACATATATCTACTTTGAAATACCAAACCTTTTAGGGCTCCAAATGGAAGATACTTCTGCCTTTCCTCTGCCTAAACACCAATAAAAATGCAAGGAGCCACTGGATTCCAGACTAACTTAGAAGCCACAGTGTAATGCCACTGCTGAGACCACCTGCATCTTTCCTCTAGGCTGTCACTTATGTGCCAGGCATGGAGTTAAGAGCTTTAGTATGTCACCTCATCTACTCTTTAAAACTATCCTGAAAATAAGGAAATTATGGTTTAACAAGCTTACATTGATTGTTTTACATACCTACAGAACTTAACTCCCAAATCTACCAGGCTTTAAAGTCTGTATCCATGAATCCAAGAAGAGAAACAGGTATATAAGAGGTAAATTCTAAGTCCAAAAAATTCCCAAAGACATTCTTCAGCTTTATTAAAAATGACTCTCAATGTGTGTGTGTATATATATATGTGCACAACTTGAATTAATGCCGGGAGAAGTCTCCTGAGTAAAAAACAGCATCCCCCAAAGTTACATGCTATGGTTCCATGTACAGAACATTCTGAAAAGTTTTAGAAATGGTGAAAAGTGTGCTGGTCTCCAGGGCTTAGAGACTAGGTAGGGATAAGAGCTGAAGTGGGAACAAGATAGTGTGGTAATGCAAGGCAATACAGACACTAAGATGGTTCAGCAGGTAAAAACACTTATCCCCCAAGCCTGACGACCCTGGATCCCACGGTGGAAAGGAAGAACCAATTCCCAAAAGTTGTCATCTGACGTCCACATGTGTCCGTATCCACAGGTGGATTGTGCACATATTGTGCAGGTGTGAGCGCACACACACACACACACACACACACACACACACACACACACACACACACACACACGAGATGATGATAATGATGTGGGGAGGAGGATAGGAGCAGCATAGATGATTGAAGTGATTAACCTGATCCATATTTTCCCTGTGGTGGTGAATGCACAAAACTGCAATGTAATAAAAATGTGAATACATCCAAATAATGGACACAGATTCGGGAAATACTAAAGCATCCTGCAATGGCAACATCCTGTTTATAACTCTGTACTATATCTTTACAAGATGTTACCATTGTGATAACTTGGTAAAGGGAACACAGCACTTCTCTGTATTATTTCCTACACTTGCAACTATCTCAGTTCAAGGTTTTCATTAAAAACAGGTACAGGACTCTGCCCATTAAAGGTTCTATTCATGAAGTCCTTGGATGGAAGGAGACACACAAGCAGTGAACGGAAGTAGAAGTCCTAGCCAATCCTTTTTCTTTCCCTGAGTGGAAGTGTCTCTTTCAACTTCCTCCCTCATGGAGGCAGCAATGTTACCTTTACATAAAGAACAAGGGTTAGTTGTCCAGCATTTCAGCTCTGGAATTCTACACTTACCATCCTTCTTCCTAGAATCCTCTTACTAACTCCCAAATTCCATTGCACTTCTAGGTTCTCAAGCAACACACACACACACAGAGCTGTTTTTAAAATACTTTTTCTAAGTCAGGTACGGTGGCTGTCTTAGTAAGGGTTTATTGCTGTGAAGAGACACCATGGCAACTCTTTTTTTTTTGTTTTTTGTTTTTTTGTTTTGTTTTGTTTTGTTTTGAGACAGGGTTTCTCTGTGTAGCTTTGGAGCCTGTCTTGGAACTCACTCTGTAGACCAGGCTGGCCTCAAACTCACAGAGATCCATCTGCCTCTACCTCCTGAGTGCTGGGATTAAAGACGTGTGCCACCACCGCCTGGCCATGGCAACTCTTATAAAGGAAAACATTTAATTGGGGCTGGCTTACAGTTTCAGAGGTTTAGTCTACTGTCATCATGGAAGGCAGTGCTGGAGAAGAAGCTGAGATTTCTACATCTTGATCCACAGCAGCAGAAAGAGAAACTGTCACACTGGGTGTGGCTTGAGCATATATGAGACCTCAAAGCCTGCCTCCACACAGACACACTTCCTCCAACAAGGCCACACCTACTAACAGTGCCACTCCCGATGGGTCAAGCATGTAAACACTTGAGTCTATGGGGACCATACCTATTCAAACTACCACTATGGCACATGCCTCTAATTCCAGCACTTGGGAAGCAGAGGCAGGCAGACATATTCTAATTGGTCTTAATAATAAAAACCCAGAGTCAGATATTAGGATAAATGTTGAAAGATCAGTAAAAGAGCCAGCCACTAGAGAGACTTCTTAACCTCTATCTAATCCTCAGCTAGAAAGAAGTGGAGCTCCTGTCTCCACCCTGCCTTATCACTTCCTCTCTCTGCCCTGCCTTATCACTTCCTGTCTCCACCTCCCAAGTGCTGGCATTAAAGGTTATGTGACACCACTGTCTGGCCTCTAGTGGCTAGCTCCTCACTCTGATCTCCAGGCAAGATTTATTTGTTAAAGCACACAGATCTTTGAGTTTGAGGCCAGCCTGGTCTACAAAGTGAGTTCCAAGACAGCCAGGATTACACAAAGAAACACTGCCTCCCCACCCCAAAATAAAACAAACAACAAACCTTTTAAAGTAAGTGCTCTTTCTTAGTAATTTTTTTAAACTGAAAACTTTTGGTTTGTAAACCATCATACTTCTAAGTATTTTCAGGGGTTGGAAAGATGGCTCAATCAGCAAAATGCCTGCCACACAAGCATAAAAGCCTAAATTCAGATCCCCAACACTTACATAAAAAGCTGGGGAGGCCGGGCGGTGGTGGCTCGTGCCTTTAATCCCAGCACTCGGGAGGCAGAGCCAGGCGGATCTCTGTGAGTTCGAGGCCAGCCTGGGCTACCGAGTGAGTTCCAGGAAAGGCGCAAAGCTACACAGAGAAACCCTGTCTCGAAAAACCAAAAAAAAAAAAAAAAAAAAAGCTGGGGAGACAGCACTAAGGAGGCGGAGACTGAGGATCCCTGGGCCTTGCTGGTCAGCCTGTACAATTGAATTGATGAGTTCCAACTTCATCAAGACTGTCTCAAAAAAATAAGGTGGAGAGAGATTGATGGCACCTGATGTCAACTTCTAGCCTCCACATGCATGTATGCACATGCACAAAAGCCATTTTCATTGTGAGAAGTATAAACTGCTGTTAATACATATCTGTAACTTTTAAAGACTATTCAGATAAACCCTGTGTGCCACCAAACGTTTGAAATGTAAATGTGAATATTGCCCACATCCTTGAAGTTCCTTCTCAATTACATCTACCTAAAAGGTTAAAATAAAGCTTACGGTTGTAACCAATTTTCTTTGTATGCATCCCTAAATAGTATACTCACAATTCCTCTGTTTTTTAATATCAGTATCATTTCCTTTCAATTCTCCACATGGTGCTACTTTTGCTAACATTTTACTTTGGCATTGTCTATAATGGTAAGTTTTACTTACAGCTGGCTCATTTACTTTCCCTGTTGGAAATAGTGCTTTATAATATGAAAAAATCACAGCTTATCTATTCTATTTTGCTCCATGCAGAAGGAAGAACATCCCAGGGTATGCAAGTCCTGATTCCTAAGATACTATTCCACAAATCTAATCTTTTTGTTGTTGTTTTTATTGTTTTATTTTGTTTTTCAAGACACAGTTTCTCTGTGTAGCCTTGGTTATCCTGGAACTTGCTCTGTAGACCAGGCTGACCTTGAACGCAGAGATTCACCTGCCTCTGCCTTCTGAGTGCTGGGATTAAAGGTGTGCACCATCACTTCCCAGCTCACAAACTTAATCTTAAGAGGATATTATTTTGCCAGGTGGTGGTAGTGCACGTCTTTAATCCCAGCACTCGGGAAGCAGAGGCAGGTGGACCTCTGTGAGTTCGAGGCCAGCCTGGTCTACAAAGTGAGTTCCAGGCCAGCCAGGACTGCTTCACAGAGAAACCTTGTCTCAGGGAAAAAGAAAAAAGAAAAAAGGATATTATTTTACAAAGCAAGAGGCTTTAAAGATGTGACGGGGACAGGTAAGATCGCTCAGTGGGTTAAGGATGCTTGCCGGGCAAGCATGGTTACTTGAGTTTGATCCCTGGAATCCATTGCAAAGTTGGAAACAACCAATTCCTCTGATCTCTACATGCATGCTGTGCAAGCAAGCAAGTGCACACACACACACTAAAAATTTTAAAAAGTAAAATTTAAAGATGTGATTAAGGATCTTAAGACATGAAGATTATACTGGATTACTCAAGGGAAACCAATAGAGTTAACAGATTTTTTTTTATCAGGAGAAGGCAGGAGAAATTTGAAGAGGATGCAGTACCAACATTGAAGATACCGGAAGAAGTCACAAGCCAAAGATAAAGATGCCTTTAGAAGCTTGGCAGAAGCACAAACAGTTCCCATCTATACCCTCCAGGGCTCCCACCTTGTTGTCATAATTTTAGCACTGTAAAACTCAATTTCAGATTTTTGGCCTTCAAAATTATAAGATTAAAAAAATTATATTGTTTTTAATGACTAAACTGTGGAGATTTGTTATAGCAGCAAACAGGAAACAAATGTATTCCATATTGATTATAAATTAGGCTAAAGAACAAAGGTACACATCCATCTTTGTACATATATCTTGGATACATGTGCAAGACTTTCTCAAGGTGATAATCTCAGGTGTAAA